GTTAAAAACCCACCATCGAAGTGCATCGTGTATATCAATTAGGGAAGATTGCACGTGTTTAGATAATCGGGGAAAAAACAATGTATAATTATCGCCAAATCCCGTATTAAACTCGCAAAACTATATACCGTTTCGGGCCGATGCTCTCATTATTTACTGTTTAGAGTAGGCGGTCTATCGCTTCGCTTACAGGTAGAAGGGTAGTATAAAGCGACGCTCTGATTGGATAATGACAATTAGCGGTCGTCATATGGGCGGATACAATCTCTGCTCTTTACATCGCTAAGTAATTACTATTTGGGAATTAAGATTTTATCGGCGATGTTGACTTCTCTTTGATCAATCGGAAGAGCGAAATTGGAATATACACGGCGAAGTTTTCGCCTGAATCGCCCTTTCGGATGAGCCCTGGGTCATCTGCTGGTCACGACCAATCATCATACAAAGTTTGAAGTTCCTAGGCCTAGGCGTTTTTAGTAAATTGATCAGAAACCGTTTTTACCTACAAGGTCAATGTGACCTTGACCTTTGACCCCTTGACCCCAAAATCAATAGGGGTCATCTGCTGGTCATGACCAATCACCATGCCTAGGTTGAAGTTCCTAGGCCTAAGGGTTCTCTTATTATTGATCGGGAAACCGTTTTAACATACAAGGTCAATGTGACCTTGACCTTTGACCCCAAAATCAATAGGGGTCATCTGCTGGTCATGACCAATCACCATGCCAAGTTTTGAAGTTTCCTAGGCCGAAGCGTTCTTTAGTTATTGATCAGAAACCGTTTTTACTTACAAGGTCATTGTGACCCTTGACCTTTGACCCCTTAATCCCAAAATCAATAGGAGTAATCTGCTGGTCATGACAAATCACCATACCAAGTTTGAAGTTCCTAGGCCTAAGTGTTCTTGAGTTATTGATCAGAAACCGTTTTTACTTAAAAGGTCAATGTGACCTTGACCTTTGACCCCTTTCACCTAAAACTCAATAGGGGTCATCTGCTGGTCATGACCAATCATCACACAAAGGTTGAAGTTCCTAGGCCTAAGCGTTTTTAGTTAATTGATCGGAAACCGTTTCTACCTACAAGGTCAATGTGACCTTGACCTTTGACCCCTTGACCCCAAAATCAATAGAGGTCATCTACTGATCATGACCAATCACCATCTCAAGTTTGAAGTCCCTAGGCCTAAGGGTTCTTTCATTATTGATCGCGTAAACCGTTTTGCTTTCAAGGTCAATGTGACCTTGACCTTTGACCCCTTAACCCCAAAATCAATAGGGTCATCTGATTGGTCATAACCAATCACCATACCAAGTTTGAAGTTCCTAGGCCTTAAGGTTCTTTAGTTATTGATCGGAAACCGTTTTTTGCTTACAAGGTCAATGTGACCTTGACCTTTGACCCCTTGACCCCAAAATCAATAGGGGTCATCTACTGATCATGACCAATCACCATACCAAGTTTGAAGTTCCTAGGCCTTAAGGTTCTTTAGTTATTGATCGGAAACCGTTTTTGCTTTCAAGGTCAATGTGACCTTGACCTTTGACCCCAAAATCAATAGGGGTCATCTACTGGTCATGACAATCACTTATACCAAGTTTGAAGTTCCTAGGCCTTAAGGTTCTTTAGTTATTTGATCGGAAACCGTTTTTGCTTACAAGGTCAATTTGACCTTGACCTTTGACCCTTGACCCCAAAATCAATAGGGGTCATCTACTGATCATGACCAATCACCATACCAAGTTTGAAGTTCCTAGGCCTTAAGGTTCTTTAGTTATTGATCGGAAACCGTTTTTGCTTACAAGGTCAATGTGACCTTGACCTTTGACCCCTTGACCCCAAAATCAATAGGGGTCATCTACTGGTCATGACCAATCACCATACCAAGCTTGAAGTTCCTAGGCCTTAAGGTTCTTTAGTTATTGATCGGAAACCGTTTTTGCTTACAAGGTCAATTTGACCTTGACCTTTGACCCTTTGACCCCAAAATCAATAGGGGTCATCTACTGGTCATGACCAATCACCATACCAAGTTTGAAGTTCCTAGGCCTAAGGGTTCTTTAGTTATCACTCGGAAACCATTTGGTCTACGGACCGACGGACCGACAAGTGCAAAGCAATATACCCCCTTTTCTTCGAAATGGGGGCATAATAAACAAGAGCTGTCCGTAAGACAGCGCGCTCGACTTTTTTATTGCTTGCCAATAAAAAAAGTTTTTGCAGTAAAAGGCAATACAAGAATCTCTGTATTTTTAAAGTGAACAATGGCCATGAGCATTAAGATATTTAGTGAAGAATTATTTTACTGAATTGTGTGATACCCTTGAACACTGCAGCAAAGTTTGAAATGTTTAAGTCAAAAAGTGGACTGGTACTAAAAACTTAACCAAGATTCTAAGTCGATAAAAGGCCTTAATTTTTAAAACAAATCCTTGACAGAGTTACCTTCTCTTGCGTACAGATGGGGGTAATGATGTGAAATAGCATTATAAGTTTCAAAGCAATATCTCAAAGGGTTAAGGCAATAAGTGGATTTTACCCATATTCAATGTATTTTCTAAGTCAAAAAGGGGCATAATTCTGTCAAAAACCTTGACAGAGTTATGTCCTCTTGTCTGTTGATGAAGGTCGTGATGGTAAACAAGTATGGTCAGTTTCAAAGCAATACCTCCAATGGTTTTGAAATAAAGTGAGGTGGTACAAAAAACTTAACCAAGCTCAATACACTTTCTAAGTCAAACAAGAGCTGTCCGTAAGACAGCGCGCTCGACTTTTTTATTGCTTGCCAATAAAAAAAGTTTTTGCAGTAAAAGGCAATACAAGAATCCTGGACATGTTTGGGAATCATGATTGTAAACAAGTATTCCAACTTTCAAATTAATATCTCAAACAGTTCAGTCAAAAAGTGGACTGGTACTAAAAACTTAACCAAGATTCTAAGTCGATAAAAGGCCTTAATTTTTAAAACAAATCCTTGACAGAGTTACCTTCTCTTGCGTACAGATGGGGGTAATGATGTGAAATAGCATTAAAAGTTTCAAAGCAATATCTCAAAGGGTTAAGCAATAAGTGGATTTTTACCCATATTCAATGTATTTTCTAAGTCAAAAAAGGGGCATAATTCTGTCAAAAACCTTGACAGAGTTATGTCCTCTTGTCTGTTGATGAAGGTCGTGATGGTAAACAAGTATGGTCAGTTTCAAAGCAATACCTCCAATGGTTTTGAAATAAAGTGAGGTGGTACAAAAAACTTAACCAAGCTCAATACACTTTCTAAGTCAAAAAAGGGCCATAATTCTGTCAAAAACCTTGACAGAGTTATGTACTCTGTCTGTAGATGGAGGTTATGATGGTGAACAAGTTATGGTAAGTTTCAAAGCCATACTTGTAATACTTCTGAAATAAAGTGGGTGGTACGAAAAACTTAACCAAGGTGTGACACCGACGACCGACGCCGCGGGCGAGTAGGATAGCTCCCCTTTTCATAGAAAAGTCGAGCTAAAAAGGGCCATAATTCTGTCAAAAACCTTGACAGAGTTATGTACTCTTGTCTGTAGATGGAGGTTATGATGGTGAACAAGTATGGTAAGTTTCAAAGCCATACTTGTAATACTTCTGAAATAAAGTGGGGTGGTACGAAAAACTTAACCAAGGTGTGACGCCAACGCCGACGCCGGGGCGAGTAGGATAGCTCCCCTTTTCATAGAAAAGTCGAGCTAAAAATGAACAAAATTTTCTCCTACATAGGCTAAGCTTTCTATTAGGCAAAGCCTATGAACGGGGAAGTCAGTTAAAAAATCATTTATTTTTCTGTTTTAAATGTGTCATTCGGTTTTTCATGCACCACTTCCGTTTTCACTCGGAACACTCGATGAATATTATTAATCCGAAAAGTTGCGATTGTCCGTTATTGGAATACCTCACCTTTTATCATTGAGTTACATTGAAAATGGCGGCGCCCAACTAGAACTGACACTGAAAATTTCATAAATGGGTATAGAATTCTATATATTTTTTAATTGATTTTTATTTGCAATCCTTTTAAATATACACGTGTAGTCTATAGCCGGGCAAGCCAAAGCCCGGGCCCGACTTCCCCGTTTTAACAAACCAATTAAGTTGTTGCTACTTTAACGGTTGATGTTTTTAGAACCAATATTATGGGGAAGTCAAAGGCCGGGTCTGCAAAGCGGGACCCGGGCTTTGGCTTGCCTGGCTATAGACTACATGTGTATATTTAAAAGAAAATCAAATAAAAAACAATTAAAGAACACATAGAATTCTATACCTATCAATGAAAATTTCAGTGTCAGTTCTAGTCGGTCGGCGCCATTTTCAATGCAATTCAATGATAATAGGCAGGGTATTCCCATAACGGAACAAATCTCAACTTTTCGGATACATAATAATCGTCGAGTGTTCCGAGTGAAAACGGAAGCGGTGCATGAAATACCGAATGACACCTTTAAAACGGAAAATTGAAAGGATTTTTTCAATGACTACCCCGTTCATAGGCTTTGCCTAATTTTATATTACTATTTTTGGACCGATTTTTATTTAAAGGGCCGATTTGACCTTTTTGGGTCGATTTGACTTGGGCCGATTTGATTGTTTTGTATAGCATTTCGTAACAGCTAACGAAAAGGAAGCAATATATAATTTATTTCATACCCAAGACTGATACTCATCCTCTAGCTCAGATAATTCATTCTCATCGTCACAAAATTTGTCAACAGCAAACCAAAGTCGGTCAGTCGCTGAAGGGATCAATTTTGGAAATATGGGCGCAGCCATTTTGTTTTAGTAAATTTGTTGAGGCATAAGTTTCGAATGTTTTAATTTTAAATGGATATTATGTGAGACAAGCACATTATCACGTTATAAAAAATATTTATTGACGGTTAAATTTTATGTCTTGATTAATTTTTATTAGGTTTGTCCACAAAAAATATCAATTTTCTTACGTACGAATAGTTTAGTATATAAAATAATGATAGCTCTAGCTGAAATATTTACTTCCGGCAAAACAATTTCACGTGTTTTCTGTTTGGCAAAATTTAATAATAAAAAATGAGTGATAGAAATAGAAATAAACTTCCAAATAACTTACCACAGCTACAAAATCTGATAAAGCGGGATCCTGGATCATACAAAGATGAGGTATATTGTTTCACTAACAATATTCTCCTCCATAAATTTTATTATTCTAGTTTTTTTTTCAATGAATTATAGAAATTTTTTGTTAACTTTAAATACTGTAAACAGAAGAACAAGTAGCTTAAAGTGCTGGTGCGGTGTTGGTTGTTTTCACCTCGGATCATGGCAGTAAGCCACATTGAGTTTTCCACAGTACAGTTCAGCCACCTAATCGTTCCTGGTCTTGTAGTCCAATAGATTAGACGTTACAGGCTTGTTATAGTTTTATGTTGGTCAAGCCTGATGTCTAATAGTTATAGAACTGTCGCGATTGATTATAAAGGGATTGACAATACAAGCAATCGACTTACCTTCCACGTCTGGATCGTAGCCAAGCTAGGAATTGCCCTAATTCTTCTTGTTATATATTTACACACAAATATGGCGCCTAACTGTCAGCCTAAACACACTAAGTTCCGGTTGGTCCGGAACCTTCCGTTAACTTCCGTCAACTTCCCGTAACCAGTACCATACGGTACTACACTCCTCCCCGTCCTATTCTTTAGGAGGGGTCTGTGGCTCAAGGAAGTTAACCAAGCACTGACGCCTCTCTAGTCCAAGGGCAGACTAGAGCTTCCCGCGTTTCATACCGGTACTGGTACTTGACCATGATGCCAGAGGGCTGGACAACATGGCCCACTTGACTGAACCGTACCATTTCAGCCAAGCCTCAAACCCAGACACTCAATGGCTGTCAGACACTTTAGGAAAGCTAAGGAGTTGGGACTCCTTAGCTGACAAGCTGAACATGGCTTTCAGATTGTCTTCCTGCGGTGTCTTTCCAGCATGGATATCAATGACAGTAGACAGCGCCACTGCCAACAAAACTGTCACAGCATTACCTTTTACCTTTGGGGTGAGATCTTTGGGCAAGGGTACCCTAAGAACCTCACAGAACTCCTTCGCTGCTTTCCTGTGATTACTGGTGCAAGTTTCCTGAGAAACCGGAACACCAGCACACTCCAGGTAAGTTACAAGGTCAAACAAAGTGCTATTAGACCCCAATAACCACCTGATCACCAGCTTCAAAGCACCAATTCTTCTGTTCGTAATGCTTTCACCTGTCAAACACATTTGGAATATGCCAGGGAGGTGGGCCTCCATAGCATGTCTCTGGGTAAGATCCTCAAAACATCCCGGTACTGGGCACCGAGATCCTTGCTGGCCACAGGGAATATCCTCTATAATCTGTGCCAGCAACGGAACATCGACATTATCAGGAATGGCCCTGATATCAGATGTTCGGTCTCTAACGCAACCTATACTTACCTTTCTCTTCCCCTCCACTGAAGATTTGGCCTTCAGAGAGGGACTGTTGACCATGCTCACCGACCTCATTGGCAAGGACTGGCTGGCCATCTGCATCTGATTGGTTTTCATGAAAATCAATCCCGTAGATGACAGAAACCCTGGTACCCTGCTGGCCACCTAAACCGGAATCCGAAGACTCCACTGGTTTGGTTACCAACGGTACCACCTCATCTACATCTGTGAAGAACTTGACCCAATTGGTATGGGCCTTTTTACAATCTTCACATCCACCACAAGGCAACTGATCCAGCCGCGCACCAGCAATTCCACCTCGGCATGTCCCACTTTGCAGTGGTATTTTTGACATTGCGTCAGCATTGGAATGCTCGCGACTCACACGATGTCTCAACACCATGTTAAACTGGGACAGCTCTTCCAGCCATCTCCCCAGTTGCCCTTGTGGCTCCCTGAAATTCATCAACCACCTCAGACTTGAATGGTCAGTCCTGACCACAAATGGTCTTCCTAGCAAGTAGTGTCGGAACTGTTTGGTGAACCGAACTACTGCTAGCAGCTCTTTCCTGGTCATGCAATAACCCTGTTGCTCTTTAGTAAGAGCACAGCTACCAAATGCAACAACTTTCTCTTGGCCCTCTTGCACCTGCAAGAGCTCTGCTCCAATCGAATCATTGGAAGCGACCGTTTCCAAGATAAATTTGTCATGTTGATTTGGCAACGCTAACACCGGAGGTTGCGTCAACAAGCACTTCAAAGTCCTGAATGACTCTGCTTGTTCTTCGCCCCAGACAAAGTTGGCTTTGCCTGTGACGGCGTACAATGGCGCTGCTACCCTAGAGAAGTCCTTAACAAACACTCTATGATAGTTTACCAACCCCATAAACCTCTCTACCTGCTTGGCACTGTTTGGAACAGGCCAATCCTTTCACCACTGCTATGTCATGCTCTGTCATAGCAATGCTGTCTTTTGCCGACTTTACGGCCTAAAAACTCTACTTCTTGTTGGAAGAAGATACATTCCTTCGGCTTAAGCTTTAGCTTATGCCTCCGAAATCTCGAAAGAGCCTCCCGCAAGTTTGAGAGATGGTCCTCAAAATTGCGTCCAAGCACGATGATATCATCGAGAAATGCCAGGACTGTCTTCCATGTCAAACCTCTCAGGACTAAGTCCATTGCTCTGGCAAATGTGGCTGGGGCACCACACAAACCAAAGCCTTCTCTGATGTTCAACTGGAAGAATGCGGAGTTGGCATCCAATTTTGAAAACCAAACACTGCCAGCAAATGTGTCCATGCAATCATCGACTAAAGGCAAAGGATACACGTCTTTGACTGTAACCTTATTCAACGTCCTATAGTCTATGCAATAACGCACAGAGCCGTCATATTTTCTTATCAAAACTGGAGCAGATGCCCATTTGGATGTGGCATCTTGTACACCCCCAGCCTTTCGGCATTCCCTGAGGCTGGGCCTCTTCTTCCCCTGCAAAGCATGTTGGCTTTCGCCTCATACCTTGCTTCACAAGCTTTGCCTCCTTGGTATCTATATCACGTTCCTTATCAGTGAAGTCACCAAGGTCAAGTTCACCCTTGATGAAGACATCTTGGAACTCAATCAGCAATTGCGCTAATTGAATCCGTTGACCTTCATCAAGGCTGCCACAAGAGGTGTCATAGACCTCCTGCAGGTGTGGTGGTATTGGACCAACTGCACCTGATGTTTCAAACACTTTGCTGGGCAAAGATGTTTCAACATCACACTCATTCCTGACAACTTCACTGATGGCAAATGCCCTCCCTATCTCTGTTCCCCTCCTGATAAGGCGGTAGCTATCTGATGGATTAACAAGACACAACACAGGGGTGTTAGTGCCTTCATGTAACACTCGGGGAACCAGAAATTTCTTCTGGTTCACTGGTTCCACGATATAGCTATGCAGGGGAGAGTGTAACTTGCATTGGACTCTCGCCACAGAGTGTGGAGGGATAACCTGTCTCTTAGACACCGTGACCTTGGATACCAAGGGACTATCTGATGAATGGACATCTAGGGAGATGCGCATACCATCAAAGTAAAGCTCTGCCTTGCTCATGTCTAGCACAGATTTGCCAGGGTCACGAAGCAAATCAAAGCCCAACAGCATTTTGTTGCTCAATGGGGGCAACAAACATGTTGACCTGGTACCACTGGTGACCAACCTTCAACTTAACCGGACCGGCTACAAAGGCTGCCATAGACAATTCCCTGCCAGCCGTTTGCAGCTCGACATCCCTTATCTTGGGGGCTTGTGCTTCAGGGAATTGTAAACCTTATCAGAAATGATGGTCACCTGGGCAGCAGTATCTACCACTGCTGTTACTTGGACATCCCCTACTTGGACCCCCATGGTAAACTTGGGAAGAGGAATTGACCTGACAGACAACAATAGGGTCTGGTTCGACTCCCCCCGTGCTTACTTGGCTGAAATTGGCAGCCAACCGGGATTTTTTAATTTTGCAGGTCTTGTCTGCAGACAGGGACGGGAAACGACCTACTTTTTCACCGTCCCATTCTAGTTTAACGACTTATGGTTGTCGTTAAGCTTAGGGCAATTACTACTTTTGAAATGCCCTATTTTCGCCACAATTGTAGCACAATCCGTTTTTGATCTGATCGGGGTTGGGAACAATTCTGACAAAAAGGTTTTTTTCAGTCTTTGCTCCAGGTCATTTAAGGCTTTGCTTAAGTCATTGGTTGACATAGGCTCTGTCTGCTGCTCCGTGATGGCTGGGAGGCAACAGCAAAAACCTTTTTTCCGGTTTCTTCCGGTCACCATACATGGCTGCATACACCTGCTGGTACTGGCGTACCATTTGTATGGCTGCATGCAACAGACTCTGGTTGCTGCCATGCAAACATGGTGACCGGCCTCTTTGTCAACCATACCCTGACAGAATCTGTTCACTGTTTTGGACAGTGACAAACTCCTCTGGCAGCTTTTTAAAAGCTCTATAACCTAGAGTGAGCACTCGGTCAGCCCACTCATCTAGGGACTCGGTTGTCTCTTGTGCTGCATTCTGAAAACTTACCTGTGCAGCAGCAGCTGGCAACTCATGTTGTGCCAAATCGGGCAGCCAACTTGCTAACCAGCCTCTTGTATGTAAGTGCTGACCTTCTTGTTCACAGTCAAGCGCATAATACTCGAGCGCTTTACCATCTAAACAGCAGACAAGGCAGCTAACTTGTTCTTCATCAGTCCACTCGCCTTGTTGGACATAGCGCGTGAACTTTAAAAAGAACGGTTTCCCAAGTACTCTTACCATCATATGATAAGTGTCGGGAAAAGGCAGATATCCAGTTACTAACCCTAGAACGCCTATGGGCAGATGGTGCCCCTGGCAAAACATAGAGTCATCACTGCAATCACTATCCACTACCTGGTCAAAACGTTTTGGTACGTTTAGGGGTGGTATAGTCTTGAAGTTATGGTGTAGGTAGGGGGGTGTGTGGATTTTGACTTTTTGGCAGTAAAATCCGCAGGAGTCATCAACTTCAGATTTTTTATGTGGAAAAACCTTGTCATCTGTTGCAAGGGTGCAAACAGATGACCTTTTGTTGCTGCTTGTGAGCGGCCAGAAACATTGGTTGCCGCTTTCACCACCTTCACCATTTCCAACCAATCATGCACACTTGGCTGAATATCTTCCTCCTCGTCCTCGTCTGTGTCTACCTCCAAGCTAGATTGGCCTAGCTTGTCAGTATTCTCAGCTGGCAGAGACATATTCTGTCTAAAGTCTATCATAGCAAGTATCTCAGGGGAGAACTTGCGACGACAGACAGCCTCTAAAAATCTCCCTGGTTATAATTACCAGAGCTCTCACGCTCACTTGCAAAGTTGCGCCGCACTTGGCTATTATGCTTGCACCCACACTATTCGGTAATTGCCTGTAGCCTTTCCTCAGAGCCAACGGAAAAGTATAAATGGCAATCTCAAGCGTGGTAGTTGCACACAACCTGCTTCTTACGCCGTGAGAAAAATTATCCTAGATACTGCACACTTTATATGTATAGATTCTCACAATAACAACGAAATAGAGTACAGGAAAAATATTAATGTAAGAGAGTGTTTATACAACTACAATAAATACGTCGCTAGATTATTCTTTCTCCCGCCTTTATATGGCACTAATAGCTAAATTGGTGAGTTTTCATCCAATCAATAATAACAGAGTTTACTGCCTTACCAGTCTGGCCAGCAGAACAATAAGGAAATTCCCTACCAAAGAAATTAAACAAATCCAAATACAGAATTCTTTGTCCTTCCAGGCGTGACGTAATACTCAACCTAAGCGGAATTTGAGGGCAAATTCCCGCTAACTACGTATTGTATTTACGCTTTAGAAATTCATGATTTTTTTAAATTCTATCAAGCAGATTGGATTACCTACTTTTATGAACAAACCATATAGAATGTCATTGTAGTGTATCTTCCTCTAATGAGTGACGTGCCACGAATTTAGGGCATAATCTACACAATCGTGTAGTTAATATAACAATTATGGAACTTGAGGGGACGTCTATTTCGTTCGGAACGTAATTCGTAAAAGAGCTGTACCGCTTTCGCACCCAATAAATGATTACATCCAATTATGAACTTTGTCGTGTGTTTTTTCTGCGATATTTGATTACTTTTATAAAAGGTCTTTATAACTTTGACACATACAAGCAATCGACTTACCTTCCACGTCTGGATCGTAGCCAAGCTAGGAATTGCCTAATTCTTCTTGTTTATATATTACACACAAATATATGGCGCCTAACTGTCAGCCTAACACACTAGTTCCGGTTGGTCCGGAACCTTCCGTTAACTTCCGTCAACTCCCGTAACCAGTACCATACGGTACTACATAGTTATTGCTCATAAACGCCGTAGCATTTTTGAAAAATTAAAAAAATGTCTGTTGACTTGCCTTTCAAGCTTTATTCAAAAGCCTATCTTCTGTTCTTTCAATTGCATGGTCTATCATTAACAAAAACTCTCAAACAATGTACTTATCAATTAAAAATAAATATAAATATCAATGTATTTCGCTCATCGGCCATACTGGTTAAGTAAAGCGTTTTACAGATTGATTCCAATTTTTTGAACGGAAAACTATATTGGAACACACTGACGGTGCATGGGCAATTATTTCGTTGAAAAATTATTCCGTTAGAAACTTCTGTACTCATTTAAACGCTTGCATTTGAATTAGCCAATCAGATTTCGCGCACTGTATGGCAGCCATTTGTACATCGGCTGTACAAGATATTTGATTAAATGAGAGGATTTAATCATGACTTTACGCATGTGACAGTTCAATTATTTTGTTAAAAGGTATTTATGAATGATGATTTAAGCCTAACATATTTAGTGTACATGTAAACCAGATCTTTCTTGAAGGTATTTTGTACCATAAACAAAACAAATAAATTGGTGGCGTTCAACCTATCATCGGAGCGCTCGGAATATTCCGAAAATCTCCGACCGTAAAGGGGGATCTCTGCGCATGCGTCGGCGTTTGGAAAATCCCGTCCGCCATTTTTGTTAATCTCTGATCACAGTTGTTGTTTTTAACGTTATTTTTAATGTGCTAGTTTATCAAAAAGTATATCTTAAAGTAACTTTTTATATTTATAATCGTTACTTTAATTCTTATCAATGAAATGCAGGTTTATTTTCTGATTTTGTACATCATTCTTTCACCGGAAGTGTTACTTAGCAATGGTCTGCTAGCAATAGTCTGAGTTATGTAGACGCTTATTAAAAGCGCTCTGATATCTATATTTAGCTCAAAAGGATTTCAAAATGGCGGCGCCCAGTTAACTAAGATCGATTTTTTCACAGCTCATTAGGTATAGGATATACATTTTTTTGAAATTTTCATTTAGTTTGAATTTGATTTCATTTGAACTGATACGCGTCATACATGTTATCTAAGAGCGCTACAGCCTACGCTAGGACTTTCCGCGTATAAACAACAGACAGGATACTCCGAAAATAGACAAGAGTCCGATTCAGACCCACAATGCTTTGCATGCTTCGGTGATAATCGGGTGAGCGACTTCAGGGCCATTATGGCCCTCTTGTTGCTTTTCTATTTTGAAGAACTTGCTAAAAGCTTGTGTTGAATTTGAGACCCCTTCCCATTAAGTGTGCCAAAATCATACATATTTTCCCCAAGAAAAAGGCTAAGGCCCCTTCCCCAAAAATGATGTTTTGGCCCTGGTGGTTTTTTTCCCTTCTATAGCAGGGGCGGTTAAAGGGCTGCTTCTCCAAAGAAAAATATTGCAATATTTAAAATCATGCAGTTTTCCCTAAAAATTAAATTTAAATCAAGTTTTTTCTTCCCCTTTTGCAAATATACTGTGTCATTTTTCCCCAAAATTAAGGACAGGGCCGCTTCCCCAACCTGTGAAAAGCCCTGTCTGTTCTAGATTAAACAACATGCTGTGCACAGCAATACATAAATAGCAATACATACAAGGCAGATAGTAAAGAAAATATCGTGGTACAACAGTTCTGTTCTGCCTGATGCTGTATCCCAATATACTGGTAAATCGGCACCTCTAATAGTGGTATATTGAAAATATGGAATTTCAGCACCAAATAAAATTGAAATTTATTGTATTTCAGTTTCTACAACAGTTCAGACATTATGAGTCCAACTTACAAATATTTCAACTGAAGCCATCACAATACTCTAAGACACTCGATGAATTAGTGATTTTCCTAGCCCAGGTTTGTACTTTCTGTATCCATAAAGAATAATAAATGTCTTTGATATATTCAGGTTTTTCATTCTCATTGAATAATAAATGGTCAGTAAAATACATCTATTTTGCTATGAATTGTGAATCAGTTTATTAACCACGTCAAGTTTGTTTTCTCTAAAACAGATGACCCTTCACGATGTCATATTGACATTGCATAGATAGAATAGAGCATGTAGTACTTAACTTTATGAGTATTTTTGTTAAGAAACAAAATATCTTTATGAGTATTTTGTTAAGAAACAAAATATCTTTTTTCTTCAAAACAATGCAAAATTTTCCAACCTGATGCCATAGCCCCAGTCCCTTGCACTGGTTATAAGGGGCTTGGTGCAGGAGTTAACTACCCTTTAAGAAAGGCTGCAGGTGAATTGCATATGGCCTACATTTTTGGCACATAGATAATAGGTCAAAGTTCAAAGATGTAGCTACTGTGACTTTCAAGATGTTTACATGTAAAAAGGTATAATTATAGTAAAGTTTGTTATCAAGATAAAAATTTCTTAATTGAACATATCTTTGTACAATTGATAAAAAGTTCTTCTTGTAGTGACAAAGTAACATGTTACTGTATAGTATACAATTATGATTTACATTGTACTTGTCAAATTTCAGGTAGCACATTGCTATCCAGAGGAAATGAAAGATTTCCCACAGGCTGTGAGAGATGTTTTGCAGAGACATTCTTCAACATTAGACAGAACTATTAGAATGGTATAACATCTTAAATTCTAAGTGAATGACTTTAATTTATTTATTTTCTTGATTTCATTTGATACTAGCTGTCATACTGGAATTTAGTCTGTAATGATGACACAATGAAAACACCATCACATGTTATAAAAAATATACATTGCTAAAAATTAGTTTTTATGAAAACTGTCAAAGGAAGTAAATACAAAAAACATACTTTGTATGTATTGACAATTTATTACAGTTGACTTAAACACCTAACATTTTCTGCTTCTAAATTTTGACATTTTTATTATTATTCTGTTCACAAAATACTTGATAACTTATATATTATATATTATTTTACAGACATTGTGTAAAGCACTGATACTGTTGAGAAATAAAGGCCTAGTACCGGCTACAAGTGTTCTAGAACTTTTCTTTGAGATGTTCAGATGCCAGGATAAATTGCTGAGGAAGACATTATATACATACATTGTCAGTGACATTAAAAATGTCAACATAAACCACAAAAATGCTAAATTAAACACAGTATGTATTTGTTACTTCCATTTACAACATTTCATGATTTCTTGCCTTATCTTAAGTGACATAATGTTAAGTTTTTTTCATTGTCAAATTGACCTGACTTGACTATATATTTCAAAAGGTTGACTTTTATAATGGTGATTGACCAATAGTTGATTTGAAAATGTTTGGGATAAAATATTAATCTGCACAAAATATAAAAAGACTGTTCCACACATTTTATAAATAGAATGTTAAAGCTACATTCTGATTGATATTTACAGAAATTTCATTGGACCACATGATTTATTTAATCATTCATGTGAACTTACAATTATAAAAAAAAAACATCTTTGTATTTTTATTTAGAATTGTTGTATGATAACATTTTCTTTGATATTTTTGAACACTATGTTATTAGATACTCTGTATTACTTTATATTATATTGATCATTATTATTTGCAGACTCTCCAGAACTTCATGTACACCATGTTAAAAGATAACAACCCTGTAGCTGCTAAAATGTCACTGGTAAAATATTCCTTACTATTATATCTTGGACATGTCTTGGAAGTCTTAAAATAATTCTGTATCGGTATACAAATGTAATTTTTTTCTTCGGTTCTTGTCATGTAATTAAAAGTATATGTATTGTACTACTATACATTATATTAAGAATACATGTTTTATTTTGTTAAAATGGGGTGGATGTAATTATTATGTCTTTTGTAAAACAGAAGAAAATGGTTATTATGAGTGTTAAATGCAGATTTAATTGTTTTAATGTATTTTAGTGAGTTCAGCACAACACAAGTTTTACTCATTCAATGATAGGTACCTTCCTCTCTTAGACAAGAGACAGATAACTGAGTTTATATAACAATTTGTTAGTTCAGATGTTCAGATAAAGGATGGCAACAATTTTCTTCAAGGCTTTTAAAGAATATTGGGGCTATCCTCATGTTGACATTAGCATCATGTGGAAGTACATTTAATACTGAAATATGCATCTTTGTGAAAGTAAAATTAAATTCTTTGTGCATGCTCTTTCTCTATAGCCACATAAAGTATACTTTAAACCGTAACACATGTCTACATGGTCATACTAGTAGATCGCTGACAGACACCTCATACTAGCACGGATTTATAAGTATATTACCTGATGTGAAATTCTTAATAAAGGTTTAGTATAAAAGTTCTATGCATGTGACGAAATTATCATATTTTTATCAATGTTTTATTTAAGGATGTGATGATTGAATTATACAGAAGAAATATTTGGAAAGATGCTAAAACAGTGAATGTTATTACAACAGCTTGTTTCTCTAAAGTGACAAAGGTAATTGTTGTTTTCTAAATTCCGAAATATTGTCTATAAATTTTCATTCTACTGTACCTTTAAACTTTTGTTACCTTTACGGAATTCAAATTATTGTCATTATTTTGCTTTTTACTAAGATCACACTTCTTCAGTTTCATTAATTTTATAGATTATGCCATTAGTTTGATGCTATGCTTTATCTCTTAGATTCTTGTTGCGGCCTTAAAGTTTTTCTTGGGAACAGATGATGATGATGTTAAAGACAGTGATAGTGAGGAGGAGGTATATAACTGTACTAGATAATATATCTTAAAGCAACACGCCTCCAGATGAGCCAAAATATTTAAGAAATTCAGTCTTAAGAAAAATGTATTTAGATCTTAAGGAAAGTAAAAAGGTTCAATATTTAATTAATTATTTAAATCTTATGGGCAATAAATGACTGGTTTTTGCTGTATCAATCACTATAACTCTACTGAATTATTAACATAGTAAGAGGTATTTATGTATATTTTGACCTCTTTTTTGGTAAGGCCATAGAAAATTAATCTTTAGACTCTCATCCAGGTTTCAAGAAATAATTGGGGCGGGTGGGTGGAATTTATAATTTATTTTATCCATCACTTTTAAGACCTGAAAAAACAGAAATGTATGAATATATTAGGGCTGGGGCGAGTATCCGAGTACTCGGATAATCACAAATCAAAGTGAAAAATCGAGTTTGAATATTCGTAAGCCCAGAGATCGTGGATCGCGATCTAATTTTTTAGCTCACCTGAGCTTGCTCAGGGTGAGCTTTTAGGATCGATGAATGTCCGTCGTCCGTCCGGCCGTCCACAATTGCTTGTGAACACTCTAGCGGTCGCATTTTTGCCTCAATCATCATCAAACTTGGTCAGGATGCTTATCTAGTTGAAAGCTCGGATGAGTTCGAACATGGGTCATCTCAGATGAAAAACTAGGTCACAAGAGCCAAAAATAGAAAAACCTTGTGAACACTCTAGAGGTCACATTTTTGACCCAATCTTCATCAAACTTGGTCAGGATGTTTGTCTAGGTGATAGCTCGGATGAGTTCGAACATGGGTCATCTCGGATGAAAAAGTAGGTCACAGGAGCTATAAATAGAAAAACCTTGTGAACACTCTAGTGGTCACATTTTTGAACCAATCATCATCAAACTTGGTCAGAATGCTTGTCTAGTCAATTGCTTGGATGAGTTCGAACATGGGTCATCTCTGATGAAAAACTAGGTCACAGGAGCTAAAAATAGAAAAAACCTTGTGACCACTCTAGTGGTCACATTTTTGACCCCAATCATCATCAAAACTTTGTCAGGATGCTTGTTTAGATAATAGCTCGGATGAGTTCGAATATGGGTCATCTCGGATGAAAAACTAGGTCACCGGAGCTATAAATAGAAAAACCTTGTTAACACTCTAGCGGTCACATTTTGCATCAATCATCATCAAACTTGGTCAGGATGCTTATCTAGTTGATAGCTTGGATGAGTTCGAACATGGGTCATCTCGGATGAAAAAGTAGGTCACCGGAGCTAAAAATAGAAAAACCTTGTTAACACTTTAGCGGTCACATTTTTGCATCAATCATCATCAAACTTGATCAAGATGCTTGTCTAGGTAATAAACTCGGATGAGTTCGAACATGGGTCATCTCGGATGAAAAACTAGGTCACAGGAGCTAAAAATAGAAAAACCTTGTTAACACTCTAGTGGTCACAATTTTGACTCAATTGTCATCAAACTTGGTCAGGAAACTTGTCTAGGTCATTGCTGGGAATAAATCGAACATGGGACATCTCGGATGAAAAACTAGGTCACAGGAGCTAAAAAATAGAAAAATCTTGTTAACACTCTAGTGGCTACTCTTGTGATCCAAATATTCTGATAATTGGTCTGAAAGTTTGTTTTGATGATTTCTAAGTCAAGATCGAACATGGGTCATCTTGGATGAAAAAAACTAGGTCACACCGCCCAAATATGGAAAAACCTTGTTAACATTCTAGTGGTCACATTTTCGACTCCATTATCATCAAACTTGGTCAGAATGCTTGTCTAGGTAATGCTTGGATGAGTTCGAAATCGCATGTGAAACTAGGTCACCGGAGCTAAAAATAGAAAAATCTTGTTAACACTCTAGTTGCTACTGTTTTGATCCAAGTATCCTGGAAATTGGTCTGAAAGTTTGTTTTGATGATTTCTAGGTCAAGTTTGAATATGTGTCACCTGGGTAAAAAACTAGGTCGCACTGCTCAAATATGGATAATCCTTGTTAACACTGTAGTGGTCACATTTTTGACTCACCTGTCATGAGACTTGGTCAGAATGCTTGTCTAGGTAATTGTTTGGATGAGTTTGATAATTCAGGTGAGCGATCTAGGGCCATCATGGCCCTCTTGTTTTATATACATTCACTGTTTCTCACACTCTTAAAATCGAGAAAAATACGATTTGAGTATAAATTATATGAAGTCAACCTAAAAACAATTTGCTGGTTAAAGACCATATTGTACCATGATGCTGAGCTATAGGAAGAAATTGGTTTCAAAAAACAAAACAAAAATACTCATCCAAAGAATAAAAACATAAATAAAGTTTTTATTTTTATCACCTTATTTCGGCGTCCCGGGTACGCATGTTTTTACAGCTGGACGTAAAATATTTCAGAGCTAAAGGATTCCACATAATTTTTTTTTTTTGCCTAGTGACGCATAAAACATTACAGATTGTTTACAACACAAATACACAAAAACGTGTGCAGTGCGTGTCAGTCTAGATAGGTAGGCGGTCCTATGCACATCGACCCCTGCAGCGATTAGCCAATCAGCGATAACGCTTCTGACTAATGTATACAACGCGCTGTACAATGTAATTACCAGATATAACACGAGGCGATAGATCAACAGTTGATTGGTAATTAGCAAATTTTAACCGACAAAAGGGTAAAATTATCGACTATTTACGCCGCAAGTTTAAAGACTTGTTATCTCAAATTACAAATTAGTGTAATTTTGAATGATTGTCGAATATTTTCGGGCATTTTTCTAGGCCACATTTTTGCTTTAGTTTTCATTCTTACAAAAACGTTCAATAAGAGTATTAAGAATTTAAGATATTGTGCCGAAATGCCAGACAACAAACCAAAAATACACTTACGCTTTAGTTTTCTTTGATATTTAGATTCTATCCGAAAATTGATCCTGAACATCGGCAATTTCACGTTCGCCAGAAACCCTAAAATTTCGCAAAAACTCTCAGTTTCTAAGTCAAACATGTGAATGAATTGTTCCAATATTATTTAATCAACAATAGATATTCAAATATCGATTATATATTAAATGTTTAGTATTGTTGCTGTTTTTTTTTTTAAAAAAATAAACATGTTTTTATGACTATTTATATGTTTTTATGGGTGTCTTGATAATAAAAGATTTGTGGTTCGATTTGTGAATCGTAAGTGCTGAATTGTGGTTCGGATCGGATCGTCACTTATCCAACGATCCACACCCCTAGAATATATTGATGAACGTCGCATTATTTATACCCAGATTTTGATCAAAACTAAACCCAAACCAATCACAAACAGTTTTCTTGTTTACTGCATCATATATTTCACATATGACGAACATTTTGACAATTTTACTGATCAAAACGAACGTATTTAAAATCTTGATCACTAGACGCTGTAAACCTCAGTCTGATTTTTATGAGTTCGTCCCGCGAATATTCGACCACGATTTTCGGACGAATTTTCGTCCACAGACGTCTCAAAATGAACAATTTTTTTTATGAAAATAAATTATTTTGGGGCGGAAAGATTTTGATACGGGCGGGCGAGGATGAGAGTCTAAAAATTAATTTTCTGTGGCCTAATTTACGTCGATTGTAAGTGCCGTTTGCAATGTATAAATTACTTTCTTTGTTCACTTCACAATATTTAACTTTTAAATACATTTTCAAAATTTTCATGTAAATTAGCATGAATTTGGAGGCATGCTGCTTTAAACTAAAAATATAACAAAAATAATACAACACTATGGGTTTAGTTTGAGGATTTTTATTTTAATCAGTTTACTCATTATCGGTTGATTTGTAAGAATTATACAAAGTACATTAATCTGTTTTTAGTGTGAATTAGAATTTAGAGCAAACTTTCATTTAATGAAATTTCATGTTTGTTACACAGCTTATTTCATAAGTTATTACTTATGTTTAAAATGTTAATTGACAATAAATTTAGGAAGAAACCAAATCTGCTAAAGAGCTTCTGACTGGACATAGAGTGGGTAAAAAGACAAAAAAACGCCAGAAAAAATTGGACAGAGCACTTGGAAATTTAAAGGTACGTTTCACATATTTCTGTAATGAATTTTTACATAATTTTTTTTCATTCAATGAGCATACAGGTTTGCAGATGTAAAATAAATATTTTTAAGTAAGATTATTTAATGTTTGATAAGACATAAAAATTTGTTTGAGCTTTCTATCTAAAATAACTTAAAAATGATAATTCATTTGTAGCCAGGTTATTTTTTGTTTATTTTAGGAAAAATTTCTTTGTTCTTGAAATAAAAATATTGGCTTATATTTCTTAAATTCTGCATAAATTTGTTTTGTTTTTTTTTTCAGAAAAACAAGAAAAAGAAGAAAAAAGCTGAAGTATTTAATTTTTCTGCTCTGCATTTATTACATGATCCACAAGGTAAGAATTATTTTATTGTCAATGAGTTATTTTTTTGTGTCGCCTTGAAAAAGGCGACATATAGGGGTTACTTTTGTCGGCGTCCCCTTAAGCTTGTCCGGAGCATAGGTCAGTCATTATAAGTCGGATTGACTTCAAACTTGGTATGCATGCTTCTTACAATGACCCGAAGTGCAGTGCACAAGAACCGGTACTCTGCACTTCTTATTTTTTGAGTTATTGCCCTTTGTTAATTTTCATACTTTATTTTTGTCCGGGCCATTTCTCCTAAAGTATAAAAGCTATGGACATGAAACTTCATAGGATGATAGATCTCATTAAGAAGAAGTGCAGTGCACAAGAACTTGTACTCTGTATTTCTTATTTTTTGAGTTATTGCCCTTGTTAATTTTCATACTTTATTTTTGTCCAGGCCATTTCTCATAAATTATAAAACCTATGGACATGAAACTTAATAGGATGATAGATCTTATTGATAAGAAGTGCAGTGCATAGAAACTGCTGCTCTGCATTTCTTATTTTTTGATTTATTGCCCTTTGTTGATTTTCAAATTTCATTTTTGTCCTGGCCATTTCTCCTAAACTATATTGTTCACAAGGCGACTCGTGGAGTTCTAGTTTCAAAGTATGATACATATATCGCAATGATGTAAGAAGTTGACTCTGTTCAAGTGCACTACTTCATACATGTCTTATCTATTATGTTATCAGGCCTATTTGATTAGTTAAATGATGGACAAGATAAATTTGTGTTTCCATGCATAAAGATAGAATAATAAGTGAAAATATTATTCTGTAGAAAATGTATGTACAGTTTATTGTCATCTTTGATGGTGAATAAACATATCTCATTCTGTGCTTCTTTTATAGCTTGATTAAAGCTGTTAAGCTCTTAGAACAGTCAAGCTATGCTTTCTTACTGACAGCTTAAAGTTTCTTTGATTGAGCATTATTATTTTAGCATTAACTTAAGGTCTTCAGCATAACGCTGAAAGTTCATCAATAATCTTATTCTTTGAGATTGTTAAAAAGTGGCTTATAAAGTTTTGAGAGCCAGAACTTTTTAAGCATTTGAATACATTTCAATGAATAACCTAAAAATCTTTATATTTTATTATCATTACATTGTCAGCTATTCAATTAATACTTTATATATCTTTATCTGTATACATTTAAGGGTTGAGTGAGAAACTATTTAGACAACTTGAGAGTACCACAGAGAGGTTTGAAGTGAAACTGATGATGGTAGATTTTGTATCTCGACTAGTTGGAATTCATCAGTTATTCTTGTTTAACTTCTATCCATATATACAGAGATTTTTACAGCCACATCAGAGAGGTAAGCACTATGTCTCTCTATCATTTATTATATAGATTTGCCCTGTTTCAATTTGGAATTGTTCTATTTTGATATAAGGAATTTTGATATTGTATTGGTAAACTTAAGCAGTCAACATATGTCCATATTGGACGGACTTGATTATACTTATTACATAGGCAAGCTTTTAATCAGAGAATAAATATGCATGAGACTCAAATCCCATAGAAACTTATAGTCTATCCAGATGGGACCTTATGCGGGTTTATGCACCCCCTCCCTACAGGTTTGGAAGGGAGCATATACATTTATTATCCCCCGCTGAAAAGGCGGCGGGGGATATAGAAATAGTCTCCGTCCGTCCGACATTTTTGTCCGGAGCATATCTCTAAAAGTATTTGAGTTATCAACTTGAAACTTCATAGGTGGATAGACCTCATTGAGGAGGAGTGCAGTACACAAGAATGATAACTCTACCCTGCATAATTTTTTAGTTATTGCCCTTTGTTATTTTTCAAAATTGATTTTTGTCCAGAGCATAACTCCAAAAGCCTATGAGATATCAACATGAAATTTCATAAGTGCATATATCTCACTCATGAGGTGTGCAGTGCACAAGAATGATAACTCTACCTTTCATAATTTTTGAGTTATTGCCCTTTGTTATTTTTCATACTTAATTTTTCACCTGAGTGGAGCAAAACTCAAAATGTTTTTGAGATATCAACATGAAATGTCATAGTTGGATAGATCTTATTGAGGAGGAATGTTGTGCGCAAGAATGATAACTCTTCCCTATACAATTTTTGAGTTATTGCCCTTTGTTCTTTTTCATGCTATGTTGTCCAGAGCTTATCTCAAAAAGTATTTGAGGTATCAACTTGAAACTTCATAGGTGGATGGATCTCATTGAGGAGGAGTGCATTGCACAAGAATGATAACTCTACCCTGCATAATTTTTGAGTTATTGCCCTTTGTTATTTTTCAAAATTAATTTTTGTCCAGAGCATAACTCAAAAAGCCTTTGAGATATCAACATGAAACTTCATAGGTGCATAGATCTCACTCAGGAGGTGTGCAGTGCACAAGAATGATAACTCTACCTTTCACAATTTTTGAGTTATTGCCCTTTGTTATTTTTCATACTTTCAATTTTTCTCAAAAAGTATTTGAGGTATCAACTTTGAACTTCATAGGTGGATAGATTTTACTGAGGAGGGATGCAGCACACAAGAATGATAACCTACCCTGCATTATTTTTCAGTTATTGCCCTTTGTTATTTTCAGCCATCAGTATTCACATAGGTTTCAAATCTGTAATCACTATAGCCATCAGTTTTCATTACCAAAAGACCTCTTAAAATGGAATTATTCTGCTCTACTACATATACATTCTTCCAATGAGCAATCAATTTTGGCGGGGGATGGCCATGTTGACATGGCTCTTGTTCTTGTCTGTCATACTGTCAAACCATCAGTTAACTGAAAAAAGTGGAATATGGAGGTATCCTTTGAACACAAGCATTTAATTTATTTCATTTTTGAAACATGGATAATTGTTTTACACAAGAGGTATTATTTATAGGTATGTTTCAATGTTTTCAGAAGTAACACGGTTGTTGTTGTTTGCTGCTCAATCTTGTCATGAGTTAGTACCACCAGAGGTCAGTATATTTAATCTACAAGATAGTTGTGATAGTGTTATACTGAACTATTGATGAATGTAGTTCACCTACCCTACACATTGATGGGGTGATAATTAATTTACAATTTAAGTAAGCATTATCTTTATTGAATGAGGATTACGCATTCTGATTTCGGATATCATATTGATAGGATAATACCAAATAAAATACTTTCAGAGGTAATTCTATGTAATTCAATGTATTATAATTATCAACTTTCTGGATACTCTATAAATGATAACATTTAGTAAGAAAACTGCAATTGGATTTACATGTATTGCATTACAAATATTGCTGCATTGGACCATCATAATTATTATGTGTTATGTTTTCAGAATATAGAAGGAGTTGTTAAGACAATAGCTAACAATTTTATAACAGACAGAAATTCTGGAGAAGTAATGGCTGTTGGGTAAGTCAACTTATAGGTGCTTAATTTTTATGGCATGCTCATAAATGAGAGAGATGGCAAAACATTTAGGATGTGTTATTTGCAGCCCAGGGGTTGTGAGTTTCAGCTTCAACTGGGTCTTTAGTTTTGCCATAAGGATGAAATGTTTCTCAAAAGAGAAATTTACATTTCATTCCCACCAAAAGCTTCGTAATTTTAATATTTTTTAATGTTTAAGTGATAAATCCCCTATTTTCACTAAGAAATAGTAAATATTCTCAATCTGTGTTTGTAATGTTATATATAATAGTTGTTATACAAGTTGCTGACAAGACATATAGGAGATTATAGCCTGAATGAATAAAATATGACTTGAGGCACTAGCCAAGGCTTATATTTATGTCAACAAAACTATATTCTACCAAATATCCAGTCAGCAACTTGCATAACAAATTTAAAATTGTTATTGATGACATTTTTTTTTGGAACCATAGAAGACAAGTAGGGATATGCCAATGTGACAGTGTAGATGGCATTATTAAGGATATTACAATAATTTATAATTGTTGTGGCTGATAAAGATAGATTGATAAATCCAAAAGTCAAAGTCCCTGTTATTTTTTAAGGGGGGGGGGGGCTGCATAAGCTGTTAATTGTCTAAAAGCTTGGTAAATAAAAACAGAATTAGTTTCAATATTCATTGCAATGTGAACTAAATGAGGCTATGTTTTATATTTAGGTTGAATGCAGTCAGGGAGATTTGTTGTAGATGTCCATTGGCAATGTCAGAGGAATTGATACAAGATCTAGCATTGTATAAAAATCATAGAGATAAATGTATGTTGATTTCCTGGTTATTATAAAATGCATGAACATTGTTATTAAATTCTGGCAGTGATTGTGGTAGAACTTTGCCTGTAGCAAAGAAGCCCAATAAGTTTACGTATTTTGATAGCTTTAAATCATCATTCACCTTTGTTGATATTGAATTATTTCAAATGTATTGAATAAGTGGATATTTATGTGTCACAAAAATTTTGCAAATGTCAAAAAGTGGACTTTTTGCATGCAAAAATGTTTGCGAAAATATGATTTTTGTGATATCATTAATTACACAGGTACAATTTAAGAATATGCCGTTACTGCAATAATTAAATTCAGTTGTTTAATACTTTTTAGCTCACCAGAGCTGAAGGCTCAGGGTGAGCTATTAGTATCAAAGGGGGATGCTCCGGCGTCCATCGTCCGTCGTCATGCGTCAACAATCATCTTCTTCTCTGAAACTACTAAGCAGATTTACTTCAAATTTGGTCTGTAGCATCCTTGTGACAGTCACACTTGAATTTGCTCATGTCATTCCAATTGGCCCGTCAGCAGAGCTAAAAATAGAAAAACCTTTAAACATCTTCTTCTACAGAACTAATTGATGGATGATCACCAAACTTTGTCTGTAGCATTCTTGGGTAGTATTTTATGAGGTTTGCCCATATTAATTTGATTGGCCCCTTTTAGGGGCCACTAAAGCTAAAAATAGAAAAACCTTTAAACGTCTATTTCTACAGAATTAATTGATGGATGATGACCAAAGTTTGTCTGTAGCATTCTTGGGTAGTCTTTTATCAAGTTTGCTCATATGAATTTGATTGGCCCCTTTTAGGGGCCACTAAAAATAGAAAAACCTTTAAACATCTATTTCTTCAGAACTAATTGATGGATGATCACCAAACTTTGTCTGTGACATTCTTGGGTAGTATTTTATCAAATTTGCTCATATTAATTTGATTGGCCCCTTTTAGGGGTCTTTAGGGCTAAAAATAGAAAAACCTTTAAACTAAAGCTCAAAATAGAAATAATGTTAAATATCTATTTCTAGAGAACTAATTGATTGATGATCACCAAACTTTGTCTATAGCATTCTTGGGTAGTCTTTTATCAATTTTGCTAATATTATTTTTTTGGCCCCTTTAGGGGTCACTAAAGCTAAAAATAGAAATAATGTTAAATATCTATTTCTAGAGAACTAATTGATTGATGATCACCAAACTTTGTCTGTAGCATTCTTGGGTAGTCTTTTATCAATTTTGCTAATATTAGTTTGATTGGCCCCTTTTAGGGGCCACTAAAGCTAAAAATAGAAATAATGTTAAATATCTATTTCTAGAGAACTTATTGATTGATGATCACCAAACTTTGTCTGTAGCACTCTTGGGTAGTCTTTTATCAATTTTGCTAATATTATTTTGATTGGCCACTTTTAGGGGCCACTAAAGCTAAAAATAGAAATATCTGTAAATGTCTATTTCTACAGAACTAATTGATGGATGATCACCAAACTTTGTCTGTAGCATTCTTGGGTAGTTTTTTATCAAGTTTGCTCATATTAATTTGATTAGCCTCTTTTAGGGGTCTCTATAGCTAAAAATAGAAAAACCTTTAGATATCTTCTTCTGCAGAACTAATTGATGGATTATCACCAAACTTTGTCTGTAGCATTCTTGGGTAGTCTTTTATCAAGTTTGCTCATATGAATTTGATTGGCCCCTATAAGGGGCCACTTAAGCTAAAAATAGAAATACCTTTAAATGTCTATTTTTACAGACTAAATGGATGGATGATCACCAAACTTTGTCTGTAGCATTCTTGGGTAGTCTTTTATGAAATTTGCTCATATTATTTTGATTGGCCCCTTTTAGGGGCCGCTAAAATTAAAAATAGAAATACGTTTAAACATCTTCTCCTACAGAACTAATAAATGGATGATCACCAAACTTTGTCTGTAGCATTTTTGGGTAATCTTTTATCAAGTTTGCTCACATTAATTTGATTGGCCCCTTTTAGGGGCCGCTAAAGCTAAAAATAGAAAAACCTTTAAACATCTTCTACTTCAGAACCAATTGATGGATGATCACCAAACTTTGTCTGTAGCATTATTGGGTAGTCTTTTATCAAGTTTGCTCATATTAATTTGATTAGCCCCTTTTAGGGGCCGCTAAAATTAAAAATAGAAATACGTTTAAACATCTTCTCCTACAGAACTAATTAATGGATGATCACCAAACTTTGTCTGTAGCATTTTTGGGTAATCTTTTATCAAGTTTGCTCACATTAATTTGATTGGCCCCTTTTAGGGGCAACTAAAGCTTAAAAATAGAAAAAACCTTCAAACATCATTTCATACTGAAATAATTGATAGATGATCACCAAACTTTGTAGCATTCTTAGGTAGTCTTTTATCAAGTTGCTCATATTAATTTGATTAGCCCCGTTTAAGCTAAAGCTTAAATGCCCAGGTCATGGCATTTCTTCAAATTATTTTTTAAACATATTCTATGCTCAAATTTAATTTTAGAATATATTGACATTCCAACACTGATAAGCAGTTATTTCTGGTGAGTGACTCAGGGCCATCATGGCCCTCTTTGTATTATTTATATAATTGTTTGAAATATTCATTGTTAGTTTGATAAGGGCCTGATCATACATTTCTTTGTCATATTTTGAAACATTTTTTGTTATATGAATAACCTTTTGTGTTATTTACACATATATTACTTTATTAAAACATTTGTGATTTGGTAAAACCAAACTTAAACAAACAAGCAATGAGAAAAAATAATCTCAGAACAGTAAGATGTTGCATGAAAACATGTTTGCAAATGATAGAAGAAAGTTTGCCGAAAAAGAAACTATTTTTGCATGATTAAATATTTGCGAATAAGTTCAAATCGCAAATATTTCCACATTTCAAAATTAACCACTTATACAGTATTTACCTATTACACTCAGGATGTACATGCAGTTAGAAAAAAAAGTGTTATCGTCAAAGAAAGTGTTATCATCACATATTGTAAAACAAATTGTTTACAATTTTCACCATATTTCTAATACATGTAACTGATAAATTATCATTTTGTTTGATACTGTCTTTGATATACAAAAGGAGAGTAAAATATATCATACATTATGGTCATTAACCAATCATGCATGAAGAAATTACTATATATATAATGTAGTTAGGTTCCAGTCATACCAGCTATGAATAAGATAAGATATAGGTACAATGTTTGTTTTTATGAGAGATGATTTTGGATTGTGTGTAAATTTCTTATAACTCCATTTCTATCACCTGTTTAAAGGGAGTGCACTAAAGGTTTTTGACATGATAGGACTGGTAGCAACTTTTTTAGATTTTTATACAATTTGATGTTGGTCTGGCAGAATAATTTGTATGCAAAATTTAATGCTGCATATCTCAAAATGAGTCTAAATATTTCAAGAAAATCAGCCTTAAGAAAACTGTACTAAGATTTAAAAAAAATGAGTTCAAATGTTTACAATTTAAGTGATAACTTAAATGTTACATACAGTAAAATGACTGCTTTTACAGTATATTTCTACTGTGTGACTAACCAAGTAATAATTTATTTGGTAATTAGAAAGTGATGTTGCAGTGTTTGTTCACTTGAAAAATATTTTATTTTTTAATACATCTTCAAAATTTTCATCAAAATTAACATTTATCTTGTGGCATATTGCTTTGAGATCACTCACTCTCTCTGTATTTTTCCCAGAATATCGTGCAAAGTTTAAGAACATTCTCTATGCTAGTTTGGAAAATTACTTTGTTTTAAAAAGAACAAACGTCTTTAAAGTAGGTATAGGAAATTTCATGTTTATTTATTGTAATATTTGTCATTTCTCGGATTTTTCCAGCTGTGATGATGGCATCTAGATCATTAATTCAGTTATATAGAAAGATCAATCCTGATATACTGAGAAGAAAAGACAAGGTAAAATTTAATTATATGCCTTCTAAATTTTAAAATCATTGCTATTGAATTGATGACTGGCAATTTTGTTGATATCTTAAATATGAATATATTATCTAAATAGAAAAGAGAGTGTTATTTATGTATTTACCATTTACTCTAAAGCTCGTAAATGTTTTTTGATAACAAGATCAACTGTTTAAAAATCTGTTTGGCAGTACTTATGTTTGAAATTTTCTGCTGCTTTGTTAATATTATTTTGTTTTTGTTCTTTCTTTTTTTTCTGCCGGATACAAGATTTTTCTTTTGATATAAAATGGCACTCTAAAGAATGCTTAAGAATTTGAATATTTTCTTGTATATAGAAACAAGACCCCTACTGAAAATGATAAAAAGATACTAAAATGAAATGATTATTTACAGGGAAGACCTACAGAAGCTATAAAAGATTTAAAGGTTTTACAATATGCTGAGAAAGATGCCAGAACATATTTACAAGGTAAAACAAATCTATTAACAGTTCAATGGTCAACTTTCACCAATAGAAATCACATATTTTAACTGATCATGCTATTTGTTAAAATGTTGAAATTGTATTCTTAAAACACTAAAAATATAAAGACAATATCTTCATCTAAAATGCTATGAACAACATACTAAAAGTGACAAATTAGCTTACAGAGTTATGCCCCCCCCCCCCCCCCCCCCCCCCCCCCCCAGTCATAGAAGCTGGGGTATTTTGTTCTACTTGTTGTCAGTCATTCCATTATTGTGCCGTATCAAGCAAATTACTACAGTCCTAAGATATGATGTACAGGTTAATCATGATATGTAGAGTATGTGTGAGATGACCACTATTTGTTTTAAAGTCAGTTACCTCTTCATATTGTACCATACTAACATGTTATGTCTATTTATTGTAATCAATGTAATGTTCCATATTCATATTGTACCATACTAACATGTTATGTCTATTTATTGTAATGTTCCATATTCATATTGTACCATACTAACATGTTATGTCTATTTATTGTAATGTTCCATATTCATATTGTACCATACTAACATGTTATGTCTATTTATTGTAATGTTCCATATTCATATTGTACCATACTAACATGTTATGTCTATCTATTGTAATGTTCCAACATGTTACATCTACATATAGTACTATACTTAAATGTTACGTGTTTTTATTTTACTATACTTAAATGTTACATCTATTTATTGTACTGTCAACATGGAACGTCTCCAAATACTACTTGTTTGCTGGGTTAGATCAAAAAAGAGAGGATTGGATAATCAAGGGGTTGTTGGTTTTGATTCTTGGGCGAGGCATGATTTCTTTGTTATAGTTGAATTTGTACATTCAGTCTAATGGCACTGCTGATTTAAAAATCATGTGTGATTAATAGTTTGGTCACTTAAGGAGAACTTGCTAATTACTGATTGAAATCTGGTTAGGTTGATTGACAGCTGAGATGCTACCAAACCATGTATTAAAATCAAAGTGAAAAATTGTACTCTACTAACATCAATTTATTGTACTGTTATAGGGACAGAAGCATTACAAGAAAATGAGGAGGATGATGATGTAGATAATGAGAAGAAACAAGAAGTTGATGGCTGGGAATCATGTAGTGATGATGATGATGATGATAGTGATGGAGAGTGGGTAGATGTACATCATTCATCTGATGATGAGGTAAAATTTGATTGTATCATAGTTTCAAGACTACTGAGTTAAATGGTATACCAAAACATGCACAGTGTGTTAACTGGAGTACAGATATAAGTTACCCGCACTCACTGTCTGTCCAGAGCATGCTCCTTGATTGGCTAATTTTTTTCTGGGGCTTACTTATTGCAACGACAGGCGAAGATATATCGATAAAAAAGTCATATTCAGATGCTCGTACATTGGTTATTTTATTTGTGAAGAAAGGAATTTTTTCTTTGGGTAAGATACAAAAGAGAAATGATACAAAAGAGAAAGAAAACACTTGGCTACAACCCCCTTCTGTGTAGAAGTTGGCAGATTCTTGCAGATAAACATGTTAAACTAGTATTAAATGTGTTATATAAACTTATTGAACTGGTATGATTAAGTTTAAAATCAAGAAATGATGGCCCCTCTATTCGACCCTGCTTTGGGACATTTGTCTGTTTCCAGTAACAGTTCTTGTTAACTTGTATGCCCAAACTATAGCAAGATAGGAGAGTGATGTTACAGACAGATGTTTAACTAATGAGATTGTTTTATCCAGGTAGATAATTCAGCTGTACCAGAGAGTAAAGAGGAACAAGTGAAGAAAGCCAAGACAATATCTACGTCCCGTATACTAACACAGGATGACTTTAAGGTGTTACAGAGGAGACAGGCAGCCAAAGAGACCGAGGGAATGAAATCTGGAGGAAAGAAAAGAAAGAGAGATCAGGAAGAAGAGGAAGAAGAAAGGTATGCATTGTTATCTACATGTGTTGTTACTTAGTAATACTTAGTATTAAGTGAGCTAAAACTGAAAAAATAACTTTTCCGACATTTTTATTACCCATTCATATGTTAAACTGGAGCACAGTGTGTTTGCAATGTGAGTGAGTTGAATGAATACAGTCTGGGGAATATACTGACAGAAGAAAGCTTAAATCAGAGACATAAAATATTTATTGTAGCTTGTATTGTAATGTTGTATTGAGAGAAAAAAAAACCTCATGATTACTAGTTCACAAAACAACACCATTGTTAAATTTAATGACTGCGTTTATGAGGACAGGAAATTATGACATACCTGTGCCACTTTTGTGACTCCATAAAAATTGTATTTCACAGCTGTGCATATATTTTGATGTGACATCATTTGCATTATACTAGCATAGTGTAAAAACATGCTAAATGTTAGTGTTACACGATGCATATGCACTATGCATTTTTCTTGATATTGCAGATATTAAAAGTTAATTGTTTGCGAACATTGTTGAAACTTTCAATGATAGAGAATGTTGACAACAAGATATTTTTTAATGATATGTAAGCAAGATATTTATGTTTATTGTAGGGGAGAGTTATTGAAACTTTCAATGACAAAGAATGTTGACAACCAGATATTTTAATATACTTATATTTTATTGTAGGGGAGAGTTATTGAAACTGTCTATGATAGAGAATGTTCACAAGAAGAGAGTACATGATAAAGAATCAAGGCTAGCCACTGTCATGGTAACCAGTTTTTCTTTTCTCTTTCTTAGCTTGAAACTACTGTCACCATAACAAATTGATGGTAGTTTTTGTACAACAATAACTATACTGGTTGGGGACCACCAAAACCGGACAACCACCAAACCCGGACGGCCTGAAAATGCTTAATTTAGTATTTTCTTTGTTCGGTGGTTGTCAGTCACTTTTTTATCAACAATAAATGCATGTTTCTTTTAAAATTAAGTAAATAAATTTATTTCAACCTCTGTAAATGGTATTATTTTAATGTCTATTTCAAGAATGTTGACGTTGAAATTTGGGGGTCAAGAAAGCAATGCCTGACCTCATATACCAGCTATAATCATTTGCAGAGTGAATAATAGAATATCCAAAACTTCACCATTTGTTGCTGACATATTGTATATCATGTTACAAATCAAAAATCAAAACACCCAAGCTTTTATCTGAATTAAATCACATCATGAACATATCTGTCCGGACACACGGAACTGTAGTGCAGACAATTTAGGTAATTTTAATACCCTCCTTGTCGAACCTCAGATATAAGTGTCAATACAATCAGAAATAAACAAACTAGTTTGTTAGTTAGGAGAAGAACCTAGCTGAACTGTGTCAATTTTTTTGGTCTCTAGGTTAAAAATTATGAAATATGTATGGAAAAATGTTCCAAAAGTGTCCGGTTGATGGTCTTTGACCAGTACTGAACTTTATAATTATCTTGTAATTTTGTTGAGATTAATGCTTCCGAGGGATCTTTTTGTTTCCAGAGTTTTATAAACAATCAATTTGGAGACTTTACTTTTGTTTTAATAATGACATAAACTTAGCTGACTTTGTTTCTAACCATACAAGAACCAAAATTCTACCCACTGCTCAGGTGTACATTTGTCTATATAGATAATGTATTACCCATTTGCTTACTGATATATGAACTAATCACATCAAGTTGGATGTGAGTCAACGTGGATACAGGCTTGAAAGTACTTATGTTACCATAATATTATCTCTGTAACCCTAAACAATAAGATAATCATAACATTTGAGCTGTGTCACAACAAAACCAACATAATGGGTTTGCGACCAGCATGGATCCAGACCAGCCTGCGCATCCGCACAGTCTGATCAGGATCCATGCTGTTCGCTATCAATATCTCGACTTGTAAAAGGGTAGGTAAGCGAACAGCATGGATCCTGATCAGACTGCGCAAATGCGCAGGCTGGTCTGGATCCATGCTGGTAGCAAACACATTATGTTGGTTTTGTCATGACGCGGCTCATTTGTACATTTGTCAGGCTGGTAGAGAAGATAGACCCAAGTACACACATGGACCTCAGAAAATGAATCCACATGCCAGTACAACAAACAAAGATAAAGCCAGGGGTAAAAACTACACCATGATTAAACATAAGGTCATGAATAGAAAGAAGAAAAGGTCATTCAGAGATAAACAGGTAATGATATTTATCATATTTCTTTTAGTAATTTCACGAGGTTTTTTTTTTCTTTCAATGTATGATGAATGTAGATCCACACTTTAACAAAAGTAGATTTGACTGTAATATTTATTTTTCTGGTTTATTATTGGTTTTACCCTTGGGATTTTTCAGAGACATTTTCAGTGTGTCCCACATTCATAGAGGTGCACTGGTAAGAAATCCAGGTTATCCTCGCATGTATTAGTGCTATACACTGGGCATGTAAAAGAACCAAGGGGTCAATTCAATAAGAACTAGGGACTGGTTTCCTGGATTCCCTTGTATCTTATAGCTGTTTCTTAAGTCTAGAGTCATGTCTATGTCCCTGCGAGGGGTTTGACATTAATTGAAGATAGAAAGATTTTTCAGATACACATACTTTTAAAAAATGACTGAAGCTTAGTTTTCATACCAGTTTATTGACAAAGCCATTATAATTTAAATAGTAACTAAAGTAATTAACAGCCAATAGTTGACTTTTTGTAATTTAAAATTACAAAGAAGATATTTGTTTAGCAAACAAGTCATGCAGAAAATGTGCATGCAATTGGTTTCCAAATAATAATAGTTTATGTGGGACTTACAGATTTACAAAAAAAAAAATATATATAAAATCATTTTTATTGTTCATGAAATAAATGGTGAAGTTGATTTATTATTTATTTTCAGATTGCTCTAAGAAATAGCCTACTAAAGAGGCAGAAAATGAAGAAATAAACATGAAATTAAAAAAATATATATTTTGTTTTATTTTGAGTTGATAATACATAAAAAATAATAAATATGAAAAAATTATTACTTTCTCTGTTATATGCTGTATGCAAGGGGGACCATTTTTCAAAGGAAATGTTTATAAACACAATCTTGATCTCAATTTCTCACTGACCAACTTACTGTGAAATTTCCAATACTGGAACATTTGATTAGGTCCATTTAGGGTTTAATGTTTTAGTTCTAAACAAATGTATATAACTAATCTGGCACAAAGGTGATCACTGACTGCATGTCCTATGTGTATTCACATTTTCTTCAGACTAAATTGTCACAAGATGATTTCACTAAACCAATGTTGATGAAACTTGGCCGGGATTTCCTTTATCAAAGATGTTCAAATATATACTTATAAATGAAATATTGACGGAATGAAATGTGTATTTTTATTTTCCATATTTTCACTGTAAAAATTTATTATATCTTGTCTGTCCGGTCATCCGTCTGTTTTTCCTTGTGCGCTCGATAACTTATAGATTCCTTTGACCCACAGTCTTCATATTTGGCTTAGAGGTTAGTCATGATGAGTAGATGACCCCTATTGATTTTGAGTCAAAGATCATGGTCACAGGAGCCTTGAATGAAAAAAGCTTGTCTGCTCAATAACTTGAGATTCCTTTGCCCCAAAGTCTTCATATTTGGCATAGAGGTTAGTCATGATGAGTAGATGACCCCTATTGATTTTGAGGTCAATGTCACCAGAGCCTTGACTGAAAAAAGCTTGTCTGCCCAATAACTTAAGATTCCTTTGACTCACAGTCTTCATATTTGGCATGGAGGTCAGTCATGATGAGTAGAGGACCCCTATTGATTTTGAAGTCACTGGGTCAAGGTCACAGGGGCCTTGACTGAAAAAAGCTTGTCCGCTCAATAACTTAAGATTCCTTTGACCGACAGTCTTCATATTTGGCATGGAGGTTAGTCATGATGAGTAGATAACCCCTATTGATTTCGAGGTCACTGGGTCAAAGGTCACAGGGGCCTTTACTAAGAAAAGCTTTTCCGCCCAATAACTTAAGAATCCTTTGACCCAGTCTTCATATTTTGCATGAAGGTTAGTCATGATTAGTAGATGACCCCTATTGATTTTGAGGTCACTTTGTCAAACGTCAAGGTCACTGGGGCCTTGAATATATAAAGGCCCAATAACTTTACATACCTTTCACCCACAGTCTTCATATTTGGCATGGAGGTTGGTCATGATAAGTAGATGACCGTTATTGATTTTTAGGTCTTTGGGACAAAGGTCAAGGTCACATGGGCCTTAAGCTCAAAAAGCTTGTCTGCTCAATTGCGTAACAACGCCTTGGTCAACAGTCTTCATATTTGGCATTGAGGTTGGTTATGACTGGTAGATGAACCCTTTTGATTTTGAAGTCACTAGGTCAAAGGTCAGAAGGGCCTTGACTATAAAAAGCTGGTATGCCCAATAACTTAAGGATCCTTTGACCCACAGTCTTTATATTCCCATATTGATTTTGAGGTCAAAGGTCAAGGTCAAAGGGGCTTTAACTACAATAAGTGTCCGCTCAAATGCTAAAGAATGCCTGCCTAAAGTGTTATTGATTCTGACATTTGAAGCATATAATTATGTTATCATATATTCATCATAAGACACCCCAGGCAATGCTGCATGAATGGGGGTATTCAAGTCATGTAGTTTCAGTTTTGAGGTCAAAGGTAAGGTCACTTTGATATTTGCCACAAAAAAACATGTAGAATACAAAATTTAGCAATGCACTGTCTTATTATCCTCAGATTTGGCAGGGAGGTTGTCCTTGAGTTCTAAATGACCACTCTTGATTCTGACAAAGTAGTATGCGGGGGTATTCACGCCATGACAGTGGCAGTTCTAGTTTTTCACTACAGTGAAACATATATTCGTATTTTCACTGGTGTCTTGCCGGGCTACATTCTTCTTAATTCAGCTAATACACAAAAGTAAAAGTATTCATTAGTATGTAATAAACAGACAATTCAAATTTTTTCTATTAATACAGGATTTATTATCATATTGTGGTATAAAAATTATCATATTTCAACTCCGGCTACTGCCAGTCGTGAAATATTTATTTTCATACCACTCGATGAAAATAAATCCTGTGTTTATAGAAGAAACATGAATATCCTCTATATAGAACTTGTGTTGATATGGCAACAGAGAGAAAACGTAAGTAAAAAGTACTGTCACACCTTTGTTTTATCACCATGTGTTCTACTACAGAAGTTAGTCATTGAGTAAATTATGGTCCACCAGGGATTATTTGGCATAAACCTAGTTCGTGTACATGTTTGGTGTCGGTATCTGTTTGGAAGTCAAAAACATAAAATTGGTCTAATGAAGGACTGCCATACAATTAATATTTACTTTCATATATAATATTCTTTAGTTCAGTACCATCAAAATACATACAACAAAATCATATAGATACTTGTAAAACACACCAAAAAGTAAATTGCCACTCGCGAGTTATAAGAGACGTGTATTACAATTTTTTTTAAGTATTACTTACTTACAAAGTATAGTATGCATATTTTTTAACTTTATTATTGGACAAAAACACACAACAAAAGAATTATATAATATTTATGTATTAATGTTGTTTGCATTGCATAAATGTATATAGCAGATAATAAAAGAATCAAGAAAATGTAGCAAGTACAGTTTTGTAGGACCTGTTCTTGTACCCCCATGTACTTATAATAATCGAGCAACAGTTCTCAATTTATCTCTACTTTTCGTCTTCATTGATACGGAAGATACGTTTTATTTTATACTGAATATTGTACTATTTTAGACCGGTTATTGCTCTGGTTCCGAGTAAACATTAATTAAATACACATACTAAAGAGATTTTAACTTTACCTAGCTATAAACGCAATGACGTAATCAGCCATTATAAAGCATGCTGAACATGGTATATATATTTATTTTAAAGCATGTTGAATTAAGGAATATAAAGAACGCTTTCTTTCCAAAATGAATTAAAATCGACTGTTAATAGAATGTCTCCAATTAATTGCTTTAATACATTGTCAGTGGTAAATTGATTTATCTGGTATACAATTCAGCTCATAAAACAAAATCAACATTTATCTATAAATGTCTATTGTGATGGAGATTTGATACACAATCTAACAATGCCTATTGTCCGTGTCCTCTGCAGCCTCCACACACATTCCCAACATTTTAATGGTCTGTTTACATGTCTCGGGGGAAATTCAATTGCAGCCATTGTTTTAATAATGGACTTTGCGAGTTATATTCCATGAGTCTCCGCTCTTGGTAAACTCTTTTAGGGAAAACCCATTTATTTGAGTCCGGTGTTGGATATTGTATATACGCTATTATATTGACTCTATATGAATAAAAGTTACTGGTAAACTGAAATAAATAGGATTATTTTTTATTACTTGTGTACCTAAATGTATTATATTATTACGTGTTGTTATTTACATTTAAAGTAAAACCGACATTAAACTGTTATTTACTGTATTTTTCAAAGAGATGTTTGCAAAAGAAATTTATATCAAAGTTTAATTACAGTTATGATAACGCTAACAGAATAGTAATAAAATATGACAATTGTATTGATAAATTTACAAACTTATATAATGTGCGTCAATCTTACTTACTATTACTTTATTCATAACACGCTGTAAAGTTAGTGACAGAAGCTATTATTCCTGTGTTTAGTTAGACATTTATTTAATGGAAAGAGATTATGTATGCGTATTTAAGCTGTAAAGAAGTTTGCGAGGAGTACGTGCGCGCTAGTTTACAACGAAAAACCAAATATGTTGAATTAAAAGTATACAGTAATCTGCGTCTTAAGTATCCCTGTTTAGATCACGTATTAATTATATTTTGTATTTCAAAAGAATCAAACAGTACAGGCTAAATCATTATTTGTGTTAAGCTTAAGATTCCCTCATCTGTTCTCAGTGAGAAATAGCTCACATGAGTATATGGTTCAATTCACATGGTTGTAAAATTTATGGATTAAAAATGGAATAAAGTTTGAATATTGTGATTTTAGATAGAAGGTTTGTTTGTAAGAATCACTTTTGCCTTGACTGTGCAAATATAGTGTGTGTCTCTCCATTTTGATTTTTACTCATGATGCCTGTTTGATTAACTTTGTAGCTTATCTTTCATTCCCGTATCATTATTATGTATTGATATTCATATTTCATCATATTACATATTGTCATACTTTATTCAACCATGCACAGCCATATTTATTTTGGATCGGATATTATCTACTGTAACACAAATATGGCTGGTTGGATGTCTGTTAAAGATATACTATTCTCATTTGTGGGTAAAATGCTGTTACTGCAGAAATTTATGAAATGTCTTGTTTGACGAAGAGAATGTACATTAGACGTTTAAGGAGCTGTACGCGATTCTAATGGTCAAGTAAATGGTGGTCCTTTCTTTTCAAAAAATGCCAGTTTTTAGTAACACTTTGTATTCATAATTTTAGTTATTGAACATATCTTCACTGTGTTTACTCAAAAGATGGTTATTATACATTTGTATAATTTGAAAAGGGGGACTGTATAGCAATTATCAGTATTTTCAAATATCAATTTTAAGCATCATACAATTCTCATATCTTAAATGACTTAATATTATGGATAATAAAAGTCGCAAATTTAATTTTAATACTTTTTACTTTTAGAGAAATATCAACAACATAAAGGTCCTTTGTACGAGTATTTTCTTTGACATATATTTTAAAATACATGTATTATTAGATTTGAAATTTATACATGAAACTTGAAACAAAGCCACCTATTGTTATAGACATTACTTTCATTTACATTTTGTTTAATGATTTATTATGGATATTTGAAATAGCTAAAACTAAAAGCATAGTGGCCAGTTGGTTCTTTCGCGAAACCGCTAAGCTTTTAAAGGAATAAACAAAGTCAATCACAAAACGGATTAAAGTTATAATCTGAAACAAGAGGGGATAATCTTCTTAAGCGGTAAATACTCTTTTAAGTCAACAGTCGTCTGACGCCAGTCGGAATCATGATTTTGGAATCATAATTTCTACCCTCTCTTTTCTTATCTTCTGCTTAACGCTGTTTGGCCTTTTTGTCAATTAGCACTAAAATAAAACGCACTGACGATATATATTTTACCCGGACTTGGTCAGAACCAGTTTCCGGACATAAATGAAGCACCTAGCGGCAAAGGAAATCGGTTTAGTTGCGGCACATGTCACTTCGTAAAAAAACATGCGAAATTTCGAATTGTACGTTTGTAATGAACTTAAGCATATACCGTAAATCTATATTCAGAGTTATGGCACAAAAAGGTTACAATATCAAAAAAATGTCATATCAATATCATTACATGTACAATATAAGACTTTTTATGCAAAATACGTATTGATATGTGCGGATTTAAGTTTAGTCCCATCTTTAAAGGTATATTATGTCTACAATTATCTTTTATCAAGCATTTTCGTCTCCACGTGATTTTGATCTACTATCTATATTCCCACCAACGATAAAAGTCCCAGTTACAAGTAACCTTTTAAGAATTGTTTCGTTTATTTTTTTCTAATTTATTCATTGGATCCAGTAAAACAATTGTTTTCTTGTTTTATTTGTGTTTTTTTTAGTGTGATGTAATCTTGTATTACTTTCGTTTTACTGTATTGCTTGTATTTAAGCATTTTGAAGACCTTTATTGTGACTGAAGATTATAACTGCAAGTTGTCTTTGGGATTTTTAATTTTTATTATTCGTATTTAGGACATGAATTCCAAGATTTACGGTGCATTTTTGTTCGATTTAGAAGACGTTATTAAAGGAGCTATAAAATGCAAACCTCTTTCTAAAACCATTATTTCATATCAATTTATATGGTCAGGAGGTGTAATTTTTGTTTTCAGTGTAATGAATGTTTAAATAAGAAAGTGTGTAAAAGCTGTTATAGAATTTAATCTATAAATAATTATATGCTTACAATACAATAGACATTTGCGACATGACTTTGGGGGCAGTATTGGTTATAAAATGATAAAATTGGTAGAGAACATTCTTTTTCACGTGTTGAGGTGTTAGCCAATTAATTAATATGACCAACCAACGTTTGACTGATGAAGGAAAACCAGTCCTTCCCTTATATCAATGAATAGCTATACAACAAAAAAATAACGGACTTTTATCTGGACAAAATTTGCACAAAATTAAAACTTTTTTTGTTCTTGTTGTTAATATCTGACATAAGTTTATGTACAGAAGAAAAAAAGATAAAAAAAATGTTTATACCATTCCCTGATATTTTGCACCGTGACTGTAGAAAAATAGCCATTGTTTAACATCATTTGGAGTTGTCAGCCTTGAAAATGGCATAAAATATATGTCTCTGAGAGAATTGTAACACTCATTTAATGCATTAGATTTGATCCTCTGATCTACCTATTTAAATGTCACCCAGCACGACATCCAAGTTCATTCCTATGACAATATCTGTTTTATCTCTTATCTCTCAGACTCAAATAAAAGCATATTAAATACATGACTGCTGAGTTTTCCAGCATAAAGATAGTAATGCCATTGACACGCATGTTTAAATTTACGTGAAACAAATGTATTTGTGACAGTGACATTTTTCATAGAATTTGAAATTCATCCAAAGATCAACAAGGGCATTTATAACAGAAAAATACAAGAGATAATAAATAATTAAATTGCATTTTGAGTGATTTTTAGCACGAACATATTAAATTTTTCATTAAGGGTCACTGTTTACAATTCAAATTATTATGATGGAAAAAGAAACACGGAGTGAGCGAATGATTTGAAAATTTGCACACATCTTATTGGTTGGGACCTACATGATGTACTTATCGAAGAAATATTTCTAGTCACGTCATGTCAAAAATCCCCAGTTTTTAAAATCAAGTCTTTTTAAACAATATACTATTTGTGGTCACAAATTGCTACCGACCATGTGAGCATGGATATAAATGAGCCGTGCCATGAGAAAACCAACATAATGGGTTTGCGACCAACATGGATCCAGACCAGCCTGCGCAACCGCGCAGTCTGATCAGGATTTATGTTGTTCGCTATCAGTTTCTGAACTTGTAATAGGGTTTTTTAGCGAACAACATGGATCCGGATCAGACTGCACGGATGCGCAGGCTGGTCTGGATCAATGCTGGTCGCAAACGCACTATGTTGATTTTGTCATGACACGGCTCAAATAAAGGTACTCCTCTTACAGTATGTCATGTGATAACGACTATGCTCAACTGATATACATGTATATGAAATATATTACAGAATCAATATAAAAAAATAAACACTAATATAAACAATATTTGTAAAATATAATGCAATAAACAGTAATGAACAGTTGTGATAAATATTAAATATAATGCAAGCCTTTTTGAAAGGAGCGGTAAACTAAATCAAACTGCAACATTTAATTGTTCCCAAATAATTGCATTTAAACATGATGTTAATTTGCAGTATGGTTTAAATGCTTAACGATTAATAAAATGCTTAAGTTTGAAATGTTAAGTTAAGTAAACCTGTAATGTATACAACCCTGATTGACTTATTGGCATACATGTATAAAACCCATCACACATAAACATTCTAAATGCCCTTTTTACACACTTCCGAAATACAGATGAAAAATAATTAATTAAATATCAGACAAAGTTACATCTATTTCATTGTGTTTTTATACGTTCTTTATTTTCAGCCTATCCATTCATCAATACCTCATGCAATAGTCCTGCAGACCAATAATGTCTGTAGAAGTCAATACCGGCGGCGCCGTGCCGACGACAAAAGTCGTTCGCTTACAAGCTACGCCGGAATACATTCCTACTATTACCGGAAATGTGATAATACGTGGTAAACACTCCGCCAATACAACCCTCAGTGACGACGATGATAACCAAAACAATCAAAAAAAGATATGGGGTAAAATTAAAAATGTTGCTCAAATACAAACAGAGGTTCGTAGCGAAGCTAGTGATGATGATACGCCTCGGAAGTCTGTTGGTCTTGCAGATTTTCAGCGAACTGCTAAATTATTCATTCGATCGAAGAGAGCAATCAAAAGGGTAAAGTCCCGATACAGTGGGATCGCTAGGAGAAAATTCCTCGAGAAAAGTTCATCTATTCTAAGTTTAAATGAAGTTGGAAATAAAATAGATCCGGAAATGTTTAATAACTATGATTTAAGAGATGTTCATCACAAGATGAAAAGGAAGAAACATCTAAAATTGGCTGTTTTACAACAACAGTTCTTAAATGATTTACCGATGCTGTCAGAGATGTCAGTAAAAGAGAGATTACTTCAAAAGATTCAGCTTCTGGAAAAAATAAAAAATGGAGGTCAAAGTGAAAATATCTTACGTGAAAAGGATGAACTTGAAAAAACCCAAATTACGCCTTTGATACGCCGACAAAGTCGTCTGCGGAAAAGCGTAGATCACTCAAATTGTTCTGTTGATTTGGAAAAGTGTTTACCGGCAATTCTTACATCGCAAGAAAGTTGTAATCAAATTGATCCAACGATTTCCGGTCTTACCGTAGCAGATATAGATAGAGAGCTTGCCATGTACAAGAGCCGAGACAGGATCGAGGATGACCTTAACCTTCCACAGAACCGACTGGCAAGATTTTCAGTTTTAAAGGCCAATGTTGATAAAATCAACGCTAAATTTCTTTCATTTAAAAAGGTAAATAAATCTGACAAGAGCGGTAGGGTGGACGATGCTCTGACTGAAGAAAAGAAATATTATGTTCCATCAAGGTTTACAAAAAACGGAATGGTAAGTGAATGAATGGTATTTAAGTAACTGCAGTATATTTGTTTTTCTATTATGACGGCACGTGGTTTCATCTTAGACATTATAAACAATATCACGGCAGTCGAGTTGAAACTAAGAGCTTATGGATATGAACTATTTGCAACACTTACAATTTTTTTTTCTAAAGATATACTCACATGTTTAAAGAAAGTTTAAAAGTTACTGTCACGTTTTGTAGGATGTGACGTTAATGAGATAAATTACGTTAAATTAACTACGTCTCCGTTAATCTTTTCATGATTTTATAAGAGTTGTATTATTTTTGTTTTGTTTAATCATCAGGGCGTTAGAACTTGATTGTGTAAGATCTGTCGTTAAAAAAACCTTACAATTTTTAGGGTGAGGTATAGAAATTTAAAATCTATGACAACACATAAGTTACGTTTGCATTACGTTATCATTTACAGGCACTGTTATATTTCAAAAAGTACGCAAGGTTAGTGCTGATTGTCACACAGTGGATCAGTCTTATCATGAAGTAAGTAAAATCTTCAGTCTTGACCACGCCTACTTAACATTATCTAATAATGAAAAATCGCGATTCCCGTGCACAAATGACATTGATTGTATTACTTCCTAACTGTGTAATGATTTCAATTTATGGTCAGGTTTAAAATTTCCTTATTCTATTTGTTTTACACTGTATTATACGAAGAAACTTTATTCATCTAGAGAAAGAAAACTTACTGTTTCTTATACATATTGTATCTTGTTAATTGTTGCATACGAAAACTACTGACCCCACCTTCACAAATTCATATATATATTTCAAAACCCTTTTTTGTCTGTAAACTATCTTAACTGATAGCATACTGTATCAAAGAAATAAAAAATAGGGATAGGTCGGAGAGAGAGAGTTTATATGTTATGAAATGGTGGACTGCGAATGCGGAAAATTGCTAAAAAGCAGCACTTTAAGTTTGTAAATTATGCTAAATAACTCGGAGGGTCATCCGTATATATTGTAAATTGATTCGCTTCAATTTGATTAAAGAGTTATGTGCCCCCCTTTTGAAGTGGTCTTGTAATTATGAATGTAGGAATCAATAAAATAATGGAATGAAATTTATTTCCTCACCTTCGTGAAATTGATATTCTGTACTTGTTACCTTGTATCATAATGAATATTTAAAAAAAAACTTACGACCAGTTGATATTTCACACTTGTTATTTACTTTATTCTTTGTCAAATATTGAACTTTTCAATATCCTGAATAGAAATCTACTTTTAAGAGTCTTACAGGATATTAAAATCGATTGGATAATAATATTAATCATCTAAATAAAAAGGGAACCCGTGTTTGTATACTATAAAATGTATTTGTATTATAAAACTACATTAAAGTTAAATGTTCAGGATTGCTTTGTACTCGCTGTTTTTTGTCTATATATTGAAAGTTTTTATATTCTAATTTGCTATGCAAACAAATATACATAGAGGTGTCGCGGGTCAAGTGTTTACTCAGTCATTATTAACTTCTCTAATGTCAAGTTATGACACAGCAGCCATGTTTCTCTCGTTTATCTTATCTATTCATGTTATAAGTACTTTCATGTGACACATGAATTCAGATTTTGTCTTCAAATACAATAATAAGCAAAAAAGATTTATGTAAAAAGCACTTAAAAATTATAAACTTTATGAAAGTATAAAAGTGTTTTTTGGCAACGCCTAGTCAAAATTTAACCCTAAACACGTGTTTCATTTAAAGATGTCGCATTTCAGATGTTTGAACGTAAAATCACTTAACCTTTATTTGTCTAAGTAAACATAATGTTAATGATGAGAAGGATCCCCAAGATGAATTTACTGACAAAATGGTAAAATTCGTTGCTCGATTCAATGTGCAAGAGGATACCCATACAAATAGCTCTCAATACAATAATCCTTCAATGTCTGATATTTCTCCGACCATTTCTATATATGTATAGAGTATAGAAAGCATAACTTTTCACGAAGTCTGTCCCACGTCCATTTTAACATACTTGTATAAATTATTAATACATACAAATTGTTTAAACAATCAAGGTCAAAATGATCAATATAAGTTCATTTAGTTTTAAGGAAAACCTTTTAAATTGTGAATTTTTAATGAACATTAACGCCTAAAACAGTAAATCATCAATATAATGAGTTTGTAAAACGGATTTTTATCATTGTTAAAATGTTTATTTCACAGCAAGAAGTATGACTTTGAGAAGGAATTAAAGTCGTTTGTTGACATCGCCAATGAAATAGAAGATAAAGTAATCAGCTCAACTATGTCAGAGTTTGGCCTGTCATTTGACAAGAAATTCTTCAAGGCAAATAAAGAGGTATAGATTCAACTCCGTTCTAATAATACTTCCACAGTCAAAAGACTAACTTCTAACAGAGTGCGTGACAGAAAGTTCCGTTTCATTTCAACTGATGTACTTGGTAATACAATGTTTCCGTCATTATGTTGCTTGACTGTCGGAGTGACACACTTTGGGCGGGACAATGCATTATAATCTTACCCCCATAGTTCTATGATGGCCAAATATTCTTGACGAGCATTAAATTCCGTAAAATGTCCTGCACGTGGTGAAATCATTTATAAAGATGTATTAATCGTCTATTAGACATTTGACAGTTAATATGGCCCAATATAAAGAGTTGTTGTTTGCATATATAACTTTAGAACATCTTTAGAACATCTATTTTTATTAGATTTGTACCATAAGTACATCATCGTAACATATTTACAAAATTAATACATTTACAGTATTTGTCTAAGTAAACATAATGTTAATGATGAGAGGGATCCCCAAGATGAATTTACTGACAAAATAGTAAAATTCATTGCTCGATTCAATGTGCAAGAGGATACCCATACAAATAGCTCTCAATACAATAATCCTTCAATGTCTGATATTTCTCCGACCATTTCTACATATGTATAGAGTATAGAAAGCATAACTTTTCACGAAGTCTGTCCCACGTCCATTTTAACATACTTGTATAAATTATTAATACATACAAATTGTTAAAACAATCAAGGTCAAAATGATCAATATAAGTTCATTAAGTTTTAAGGAAAACCTTTTAAATTGTGAATTTTTAATGAACATTAACGCCTAAAACAGTAAATCATTAATATAATGAGTTTGTAAAACTGATTTTTATCATTGTTAAAATGTTTATTTCACAGCAAGAAGTATGACTTTGAGAAGGAATTAAAGTCGTTTGTTGACATCGCCAATGAAATAGAAGATAAAGTGATCAGCTCAACTATGTCAGAGTTTGGCCTGTCATTTGACAAGAAATTCTTCAAGGCAAATAAAGAGGTATAGATTTAACTCCATTCTAATAATACTTCCACATTCAAAAGACTAACTTCTATGAATCAAATAATTGACAAATAATTTTAGGCTTTAAATCAATATTTGTGACAATTAATAAGTAACAAATTTAAGGCTTTCAATGCTTTACCAACTAAATGCTCTTGATTTAGAACAAAACTACATGTATAATTAAAAATTGTACCCAAATAGTTAAAATTATCCAAAATTTCAAGTCTTATACCATTGTAAAAAAATTCTTCATTACTTAATAAACCACCACGCCTCCTAAATACAACAACTTTTGTTTTATCGGTATTTACTTCTAGACTCCAAGTTTCACAATAAGTACATAAAAGCTTTAATGATTGATTTACCTCATCTGGCGATTCACCCAGAATAATCATATCATCAGCAAACAACAGCAAAATAAGTATAATGTTATCAATGGTAAAACCAGAGTCTGTATTCTGTTGTAGATATAACTCTAAGTCTTCTACAAACAGGGAAAATAACATGGGCGAAATTACCTCCCCTTGCCTTAAGCCTACAGCGTATTCAAAAAAGTCAGAATAGGTATTACACAACCTTACACAAGACTTAACTTTTTCATACATACTTTTAACAATGCGTAGCATTTTACCTCTAATTCCACTTTATAACCCGAGTCGCTAAACTAGATTACCCTTTATTAGTACAGAATACTAAAGCAATCTCATTTTATTAGAGAATAATTTCTTCATAAATTGACAGCAGCTATGTATAAAAAGTCATGATTATCCAATTTCAAATACATGTATTGTAAATATAGAACCTGATTTTACGTCTTGGGACAGAATGAAAACTGATGAATATACAAAACAGTAAGGTTTCTACGGAATTATTTTAAAAGAGTTTTAAACCATAATCCTAAAATGATTAAATAAACTACTTCAAATATAATGTGACGTTTTTTTTTCAAGGTTTACGACGTAGAAGAGTATTTGAATCTTTGTAGTATAACAATACAATATTGAATTAAGCCATGTGATACGATCAATGAATATAGAAATATTATTTTTATTCAACACTGACGCATCCTTGTATCTCATAAATTATGTATGATATCGGAGGCCAATTTTCACTATAGTGGCCGAAGTTGTTGTTTGTTTGTAAGGTTCCAGTCATATATGTCAATATATGTCATCTGATCAACACAGAGATAGTTGTTATAATGCAGTCTCATATTTATATTAAAAGGTCTTCTATGGCTGATGGTTTAAGGTCCCTGTCACGGATTATTCCTATTCACCGACGTGTATTCAAGTTCCGGTTGTAAGTCGAATTATATCATGCGAGGTTGCAATTCAGCTACCCCCAATATATGTCTTCCCGGGAGCAAGATAGTTCTTCAAACAATACTAGGATGGCTAGGATTTTCATTCATCAGTAAATTTACGAAAAACATCATGAGCTAACCTTGTATAAATCTTTATTAGTCTTCCCGGGAGCAAGATAGTTCTTCAAACAATATTAGGATGGCTAAGATTTTCATTCATCAGTAAATTTACGAAAAACATCATGTGCTAACCTTGTATAAATCTTTATTACAGATATCACTGAGTACAGAAGTACGCAAGATTTTAACAACAAGATGGTGGTCCCGAACACCCAAAATGATTAAGCAGGTACAGTTGTATCTAGTACTTTCATTATAGATAAATAAAATCTCCGTACCCTGTCTTGTGAGCCCATACATTTTAATGTGTACCTTGTCTTGCAAGCATATACAATTAAATGTATATATACCACTCCTGGGAGCCTCAACTTTCTTATGATAACACCAAGCAGACTTGTTTATATACTGTGACTTCGTAAAAAATCTTTTATTCCCTGTTATTTGAAAGTTTTTTATGTTGTTTATTTAAAATAATCAAATATGTTCGAGGTGTACATTGCTGATTGATTCAAAAAGTTTCTTTTCCCAAGTTTATTTGCTTGATATCAGAAATAAGTTTTCGTTATATTGTCTCGTTGTGTTGTAGCCATATATGATCAGATATTTTTTCTGTGTAAACATTTAACCTGACGCGTTATGAATTATTAAACTTTCACTTAAGCTTCCGCGAAGAGTCTGGATAATTTGAAAGTTTTGAAACTTGATTTTTTTACCGGTATCGTTTTTTATTTGAAACTTGGACCTCACGTTTAATTAATTCATTAATTGATTTGATCATTTGATCTCCGGACATTCAGAAATTTGTATTCGAAACAGGGGCAACTTTCAAGTGACACTTGAACCTTCCTGAAGTCGCGTTCATTTCCTCCCTATTTCTAAATACTGATTACTTGAACTTGTTTTTTTTTTCTTTAGGTTTTAAATGGTTTACAATCTTTACGATCTTTGTCGGAGTATCCCATGCAGACACAAGAAAAACTGTGCAAAGTAGCGTGGTACCAAACGTAAGTGTTTCCCAGCTTAAATATAATGGAATTTCAAGTTTGCTGAAACAATTCCATATGTTTAGAATAATCTTGTAACAATTTAATGAGTTTGTTTATGTTTAGTTAGCATAGTGTTAAACGAAATTTGAACTTTACAATAGTAACGTCTTAATATTTTTTTTTCAAATTTTCTTATTATTACATTTGTTAAGTATTTCGCTACTTTTTGGCTAAAAAATATTTAACATTGTTTATTTACAGAATAGGCCCAAAGAAACTTATCGTCAGACAAGGACATCATGCGGAATCTTTCTACTTTATTCTGTCCGGAATGGGTAAATGAATAATAAATTCAACGGAACGAAATTCCGACATTTTCTTTTCAGCTTTGTACAAATTTCCAAACATCTTATTTATGTCCTGCTGTCATTGTTTGATTATGCTTGAAAATGGACTTCCTGTTATTACATAGCTAAAGAGTAGATTTATTTCGTTCGCATGATCGTTTTCACTATTTAGAGCAAGTGTTCCATATAAGCATTAAGTCCTAACTGCAGTGTTCACTATTATATATATATATATTTCTTATAGCAAAGGGCAAGGATTTTGCTCAAACGGATTGTTCCTTAAAACCAGAAATTAGGTATAAAAGTGTTTCCATACGTAAAGTTTACATAATACATAAATAATAGTAATTTCATGATATTTAAATTTATCTTCAAGTATTGACATTTTGTTTTCTGTTATTGAAGTAGTCTATTTGATTATATTGACATGAATTATCAAATGTTTGATATAAGTATATCTATGATATTGAAGCATTTGTAAAGAAGATGTTACAAGACCCTGTCACCGGAGAAACGAAAGCCGAGGTCGCTGCAAGATTAACAAAAGGTCATAGTTTCGGGGTATGTAGTAAAATGTCTGGGATCTTTTAAAATAAGCTTAACGGGTCGCTTTCACGATCAATAGATCGAAAAATATTTCACATTGTACAATAATTCGAAATTTTCTAGTGAGTATTTTTCATAGATCTGCAAAATACATATGATTAAAATTAAAACATTATTTAAAGATAACGTTTTGAATGAATATTTAAGCATATATGTATATTTTATAAACGTGCCACATGATAGATATAATACATTTTTCTTATTTATATACAGTTTTCCTGGGAAGATGGGGTAATTTGCTCGCTTAGTTACAGTTACAAAATTATCGCATTTGGCTATATATTAGCTAAGCTTTCATTTCTTTGCTAATCGTATTCTGTCAGTATTTAGACATGCGATACGTTTTACACCTTGTCAATTTCTTCATGTCGAATCCTCTTTGAAAATAACAAAATAAACTCTTTGTTCTTTAAATGTCTTACTTATTTAAAGATGAACTTAGCTTGAACTGTTCCTCTTCTTAACAATTTAATATTTTAATAGCAAGTGCTTTTTATTTAATAGTAATCATACTTATAGTTGAAGTATTTTTCAACGTTGAAGTATTTGTTTAGATCATTTAATTGATTTGGTACTTAGTAAGTTAAGAGTATAATGATCTACTTATAAGATTAGTCAACTCATGCGACCTTTGAGTATATAGAATATCTAATGTAGTAAACAGCCTGATCCGCTTCTGTCTTGTAGTATAGAATGATTAGTTAAACTATTATGTTCATTATATTGAAATTGCAGTTGCTTTTTAAGTTATTTTGCTATGCAATATTATTTCTGTTTGTTTCTTATTCGTCGCTTTATTAAACAAAAAAATGGCCGGTGCTGATGTGATCTAATTAGTTATTGACAACTGTACACTGTTTATGATTTAACTTTTTGATAGAAAAATATGAATTATAACAGCTTATTTATCTTATATCTACCTATTAACTACTGTCAGCATTTTCATGTACTACACTTCACTTCATATTGGTCTTTTCATAATAACTTACTATTCAAAATGAAAATCGTAGTGACGCCATGACTTCAATTCTTAAAAGGCCCATTATTTTACATAGTCAAAGAAGAAAATTTAAACCAGCGCAGATTATTTTCATAATTAAAGAAAAGGCTCTTAAATAAATTAATAAAACACATTTTGTGGTCAACGTCCTATCTTTCAGGAGCAAGTACTCAAAATTCAGCATTTAATTTCAAATTATTTTTTTTACTTTATTTTCAGTTATCATGCAAGTTTAAAACAATTCTATTTTGAATATCTTTTGCTATGCTTCCTTGAGTGAACAAAACGAAGAGGGCCATAACTCGAATATTTCTTTCATTCCACTGAAGCAATTATAGAATACAATCTGTTGCATTGTTGAGGTTTTGTCAGAAACACTAGGTGGGGTGTTGCTGACCTGTTTTGTTTTATCTGCCCTTGAAAATGTCATAACAGAGCGAAAAAACAACTCACTTTCGGTGGCAGATAATTCCAAAAAGGAGGACTGTGACCCACAATGTTCTTTCTATCAATTTGTTTCAATCATGGTTCTTTTTAATCATGCAAAGTTAAAAGCACTATGGTTCCAGATTAATGATAATTTTCATGAAACTCGAAATTTTCATTAAAAAGTAATGTATGTTGAAGTGGACAAAAAGAATAATTTACATATTTCAAACGGCAATTACAATCCACGTAAAAGAGGTCAAATGTGCCAATAATATCCATTGCTGCGTTTGTCACGCGGTAAAATTATGGTGATAAACTGCTAAATTAGTCATTTATCGCAAATAACATGTAAATTCTTTCTTTAATCTACTAAGTAATTTTTTTAATCTGAAAAATATTACATTTTTAAAGTATAATTTTCTTTATGTTGGCTAATCTGGAGGCATGCAGCTTTAAAAAAAATACGCTCGTTTAAGCTAGGTCTTATACCTTACAATTTCATTATACAGGAGATAGGTTTACTGTTCGATACACTGCGTACAGCTACAGTAGAAAGTGCAACACCAATGGAATTGCTTGTAATTGGCAAGGAGGACTTTGTACGAATATTTATGAAAGCTGAAAACCCTGATGACGAGCCAGATCATATTAAATTTCTAAGGTAATCTTGAATTACAATACAACTTGTTTTTGACTGCTCGGAAGCTACTACAATAGTTTATATATTATATGAGCCGTGTCACGACAAAACCAACATAACGCTTTTGCGACCAGCATGGATCAAGACAAGCCTGCGCATCCGCGCAGTCTGACCAGGATCCATGCTGTTCGCTTAACAACACTTTTACAAGTGGAGAAACTAACAGCGCACAGCATGGATCCTGATCAGTTGTAAAATTTAATTGAACAATCGAGTTGGGTAAGTATGTGTGATATGTATTGCATTGTACATATAAAACACCCCATTGCTTTGTTTGTATTGATAAATTTGTCTTTCAACTGTTTGTTATAACAATGTTCCCATGTCTGTGCAAAATATGAAGTAAACTATTCGATTTCATTAATATTTTTAGAAAGATTCCATTTATGAAAGAATGGCCAATAGAGCTACTGAAGCTGGAACCAGGAGCATGTCTAACCCATTATTTCAAGTAAGTTTTAGTTCCATAATTATCAATTTTTATTAATAATGGACACTTTTATGTAATACGTAAAGAATTGTATATATTTCCATGGTGAATGATTTTTGTGTTTTCGTATGAACGTACTAGTAAAGTTTCATCCCGCTACAACGTCAAAATGATCATGGCAGAAAATGTGCGTGAGATATGCGAGGGCATCGCTTATATATTTCTGTTATTTTTCTCTACGAGAAACAAGTGTCAGGCTGTTTATGTTGAAACAAATCTCTCTCATGAAGTCAAACGAATGAACAGTTAGTAAATATAGAATAAAAATGATATTTTGGAACATGTTATACCTTTACTTAAATTCTAAAGCTTCCGAGTCGCTATTTAATGCTAGCTTTAATAACATAGATACTTTTTAAGATTTTGTTTTTCATTTTCTATTTAGACGAGGCAGCTTAGTAACTGATAATGACAGGCACAGTGAATGGTTATATATTGTTATGTCGGTAAGTTAAATATAGTGAATGGTTATATATTGTTATGTCGGTAAGTTAAATACAGTAAATGGTTATACATTGTTATGTCGGTAGGTTAAAGACAGTATATGGTTATACATTGTTATGTCGGTAAGTTAAAGACAGTATATGGTTATACATTGTTATGTCGGTAAGTTAAAGACAGTATATGGTTATATATTGTTATGTCGGTAAGTTAAAGACAGTATATGGTTATATATTGTTATGTCGGTAAGTTAAACACAGTGAATGGTTATATATTGTTATGTCGGTAAGTTAAACACAGTATATGGTTATATATGGCTATGTCGGTAAGTTAAACACAGTGAATGGTTAAATATTGGAATGGCGGTAAGTTAACAGAGTGAATTGGTTATATATTATTATGTCGGTAGGTTAAACACAGTGAATGCTTATATATTGTTATGTCGGTAAGTAAAATATAGTAAATGGTTATAAAAATGTATATTAAGTTTGTAAGTTAAGCATTAAATGGTTATATATTGTAATGTCGGTAAGTTAAGTTTACACAGTGTATGATTATATTCTAGTTTTATACAGCATTGTCGGTAAGTTAATGAATGGTTATATATTGTAACATAAATGTTGTAGTTGCACATATACTAATAGATAGTATACTTTCTAAATTCAGAATATTTCTCTTCATATTTAATTTATATTATAGAAAAGTCTTAAAATGACCTGATTGACTTAATTTACATTATATATCACTATTATTAAAGCAAGTGATGTACGAGCGAATGGTGATAGTCACTGTAAGATATATTTATATATCTAATTATGATTATGTTACAGGGTACTTGCGAAGTCTTGAAGAAATTGAAGAAAGTACGAGGAAGAAGTCTCAGTGAAATGAGGCCAAAATCTGACCCAATGTCAGACATAATTCTGCCAGAGTTAGGAATGCCAAATAATCGTAAGTTCATGTTAAAACATGGTTTGGTTCCCTAAAAGACACATGGCTCCGTACGTACACGTGCCAAATATTGAAGACTGGTGATATTTTATTAACAGGATCTAATGTTTTTGTGTTACCATTTATTTTTTTCCATAATTAACATATTGAAGTTTTGTTAATTGAACTTCTAAATTAATAATTGAAGAAGAGTGAAGTTATTAAAATAATTAAGTTTTTATGACTTCTCCGGTATTTCATTAGATGTTTAGTTTTGTATTGCACTATTGCTTTACAAAATATTGAGACAGATGCAGTGTATTTTAAAGTGCAAATAGCAAATAAAGAAAAGTTAAATATGTATGTTTCAGATCCGAAAATAAATACGGGTAAAAATCACACCCGGAGACGAACAATACATCCGCAAGTTTACCGAGACATGACAGATTTCTATGATTCACTGAGACGGGTAAGTAATGTAAAAAAAACTTACATAGATTACTATAATATTATATATGAAGTTTTTGTCAACAATTTTGATACTGCTAATTGCTTGTGCTCTTAACATAGTAGAAATTAAGAAATTATTATTTTCAATATTATAGGATAGTATTTAAGCTGACAGGTTGATTATTTAATAAAATTACAATGGGAAATTTGTATATAGATAAATGTATATAAGAACGCACGTTTTCTGAATGTTCTTTTAGAAATCTTATATTTATAAATGGATATACATGTATCACTTATTGTGCAAATTTGCCAATGTTGGCATTAAAAGAAAACATTATCCATTTTGATCATGAAATTATTTCTTTTCGTGAAGTGAAAAATCTTTTTTCCCCAAATATTTTTTTTAAGCATTTAAACAAATATTTATGAAGTCTATAGTTTATAATTTGATAGTCTATACATATATGTGAAGTATCAGTTTTTTGTCATGTAAGGAGAATCACAGATATTTCATAACAGTGACGTAATTTTTGCACTCGCAGAAATATGCAGCGGAAACACCAAAGCCGTCTGTAACTGAAAAAGAAATGGAAGAAGACGATTTATTTGTAGATATGCCTGATATAACGGATAAACAAACACCGAAATTGTTCCTACGCTCTCCTTCCCCGAGAAAATTTTCTGAAGCAGGCACCCCTGGTCCTAAAGTTCGATTTTTTGACGAAAAGCAAAAAACTGAAGAAGATTTTTTAAATCAAGATTTTAAGATAGTTCCTCTGGAACCCGAGCATACACGAAGACCTGTTTCTCGGGCTAGATTGGACGAGAATACGCCGAAATTAAAGAGGGACCATTTTGTAAGGGCAATTATTGGAAATAACCCATCCCTTCCCCGCCAAGCACATTCATATCCAATCACATGGAATTATAATCAGTCACGTGACATGTAACCCTCGCATGTTTGATAAATATAATCATTATACAAGTAGTTTAGTTTATTGGCAATAATTATGTTTGCATTTGACCATTTACAGAATGTAAACGTATAATATACGCTGAACATATTATCACAAAGAAAAGCGTATGATATATCAGAAACCATGTATAATATACTAAGTAATAGAAAATGAAATAGAACAGATTATCTAGCAAGTATAACGTTACTAGATCCAGTGCTTAGATAACTTATACAAAAGAACTTTGAAGACATGAATTGATTGAAAATATTTTGGTTGGAATTGACCTAAACTTTTATTCATATATGTCAACATAATTTTTATGGACAACTTTAAACAAAACGGTATTCTGACTCCACAACATTTGTACCCAAATTTTACATACTAATCTCATTTTCTCTAACTATTAACTTCAATTTGCAAATAATGAGAACGTAATCTCGTTCGAGATAATTATTGTTTTAAACTATCATTTTGCAAAAGAAGAATCAAAGGCAATAGGATTTTAGTTTACACATGGTGTTGATATTTGTTCGCCATTATTGAAGAAATTGACCTCTCATCCTAACTTTCAACAACAATAATAATTTTTTTATAATATAGATAACATTAGTTCCATACTGACGACACCAAGATGATCTGTAATAAGATTCATTCTGCTTGCACTTGTACATTTAATATCAATATTCAATTTCATATTTGTATATAAATCGATAATATGTAAATGGTCATTTTCAATGATATTAACCAAAATTTGACACTTCTTACAAATCCGACCAAGTTCATCGTAAAGAGCATAATCTATGTAAATTATTAGATTCTTTTCGTTTTTTCAAAGACATACTTTCATTTTTCCGTACATTTTTTTCAGTTCCACTTCTTATAATAATTTGATAAGGCATCTTTGAGGATCTGTTGTAATTAAAACTACACTATACTATACTAAAACTATATCCGGAAACAATTTATATTTTGACAGATATTTAACAAAAATTTGTTTAGAAATGAAATCCAAATTTGTTTTGTCATATTGGGGGAGTAAAATGCAGATGTTAAAATGACTCTCCTTGTTTAAAGCCCAAAGAGACATCAAACAAATCAGACATTTGCATACAACTTGACATTTTTACAGAGATTTGTTGGAATATATGCATTTAATCATAAGCTAATGCCAGATTTAAGCAGCTTCATTCACATCACATCTGTAATGTTTTCCCGCCAAAAAAATCTAACATCGGCCAATATCGTAGCAAATCGGTTTTTTTTCCGTAACGAATTTTTTTCAAAATCTTGGGCATTATATTATTTACAATCACTGATCATTTATCGCTTTGTACTAAATTCCGGTATAAAAATATTAAAAATTATTGAATACTGAAGATTGTCAACAATTTATTTGGCGGGATTCAAGCATTACAGTAAGAGTATCTTAACATAATCAAACGCTTCTTGATAATAAATACACATCATAATTTAGCTTTCTTTGATAAAGCTTCTTAATAAAATATGAAGAAGAAAAATGGCAGCAGTTGTAGAACACTCATCTCGAAAACCATGCTGACTATTGATATTTGTTTTCTTGTTCCCACCATTTATTGATACGATTTCAAAATGTCAACGAAAAATGATTTCCTCTAACGTATACTATTATAACATTGATTATTTCATCATAATCGTCTCCTTTTTACCAAATCACCATTTTACACCATACATTTAGGTATTAACATATATCATACATCAAGATATTTGAGACTTATGGCAGATAATTTTATTAAATTCCTCCTGCTTATTATTATTACAGGGCATTGAGTGAAAATGTTACTCGGAAATGGCCCGAATATTCATTTATGTCAAAACACACAAATTATGAATATTAATGTAACCCCCAATTATTGTAACATAACTAAACTACATGTATGTTTAATTCTATAAATACAATTAAAATTACATTTAACACTTTCTTAATTAACAGACCATTTCATTGCAAAGAGTAAAAAGTCTCTAAAATGATGGGATATAATATTGTGATCAGATATAATTTATCTATGGTTATCATTCTGGAAATGTAGAAACAATACATGTTGTTCATTTCCACTACAGATTGTTACCTTAAAATGTGTTACAAATTAGATATAGAACACTAATAGAAATTTTAGACAAACTACAAGGAATACAATACGCTTCATTTATAGTGATTGGCATCGGCGTTTTCGTTGTTTACAAATAACAAAATAAGCGTTTAGAAACGATAAATCATTTATAATAACATTTTATTTGTCGTCATTAAAGGTTATACCCAAATCATGTCATATTTCAGGGATACATATGGAAACCAGTTGCTAACAATGTAATAATTCTTGTGTTTAAATGTCGTACACTTAAATGCTTTGCTTTGCACATTTTGTTGCTAATTAATTAATCTCATTTTGATTATCCTAAAATGTTTGTACAGTTGTATACGTTTAGTTATTTCTTTTTCCGCTTTTTAACATGTATTTACTTATATATTGATGTTAGCTTGAAAACAATCATTTCAGTTTTAGTGTACAAACATTTCTAAGTTTGCTTTTGTGCTTTGTAAAAACTGCTTCGAGAAAAAAGAAAGAACTACTAGTGGTTTACATGTTTATGTCAGAGGCTTTAAAGTAAAAAATTTCAACTTGAGACACAAAAAGGACTAAATAAATACACGTATTGACCGACTAGGGTTTTAATTATTTTATAGCCTATTTGCAACAATTTTATTGTTTACCAACTAGTTCTGTATTTTTAATATGGTATGCAATGTAACAATATCTCTTTGATCTAATAAATGTCTAGCCAGAGTTATCGGTCCTAAAACTTCTGTAACAGAGAATAATGAACGACAACTCCTGGTAAAAATTGAATATAAAGTCACTCTAAAAGATTATCTTTTTATATCGTTTGTGATTAGATAAAAAAGCCATCAAACGGTGAACATTTTTAAAACAAAATTAATTTTAATAATAAGTTGTGCAAATTTCAAAACTCGGCTTTTTAGAAAACTTTCTTAAGTATATCTTTTTATTAGTTCTTACATCTGTAGTTTTTACTTGAATAGTTGTTATTTGAGACTTTCCTTTTTACGTATTCATCAGAGTCTTGTGAAGCTATTTATCTGTGTCACAATTCTATGAGCTAACAAAAATACATCTAAGTTCCGTAAATAAATGTTTTAACAAAATGATTGAAAATTATTATATAGAACCAAACAAATTTAGAAACATATTTAAAAAGCGCTAAAACGCGCGTCTGTCTGTTTAATGTTACCCAGGGTTCCGTGCTGTTATACTGCTTCCTGTTTTTTTTTACCTCACGTGTTTTTGTGGCGCTAATTTCAGCGACTTCCGTCACGTGAGAAGTTAAGATCCTCCTACAGACCGAAGTCACTGGACGATGACGTATTTAAAGCTAACCACAATGGTTCCGATGACGTCTTTGTACAAGTGGAACTCCTGTATCCGAAACAGTGCTTTGTAAGATGACGCATGTTTTTGAACTTATGTTCTTCTATTTGAATCTACTTGTTAAGAGTTTAGAGTACATCTGTTTATTTAAAATAGATAAATACAAGTAAATAAATAAATAAATAAATAAATAAATAAAAGTCTTGCACGACGTCATTTGTATTTTTTGCCTAAAAGGAAGTGGACGAAATTTACATTACTAAAAGTTAACTCCAACAAGTAATAATGTGTTCTCAAAGAAAGTATATGAAATATTTGCCTCACTATAACTTTACTCCAAATAGTATCATTTTGTTCTAAAAAGGTAAGTATATGAATTTTGCCTTTAGTCCAAAGTGAATGGCATTTTGAGATTGGAATGGAAATATTTTTCATATTCTCACGATTTATTTGTACAGGGTTTAAACACGTTAAAATATGTGATGGAAGCAGACGATGATGTGTTTGATGTCGGTGCAGACGACACACCAATATTGTCACTGGTAATTTTAAACTATCTTTTTTATTATGCTCCTATTGGTGCTAAAACTACAGATATTGTGGACTCATAACTGTTTAAAAAAGCTAACAGTTGTTAATTTACATGTGCTTTAATGATTTAAAGGATTCACTTCTTTAAAAAAAGAAGATATTTTGCATTGATAACGTCATGCTGCCGGTCTGTTTTGGCTAGTTCGTTGCCATAGTAAAATGCATTTCAAGTAAAGAATACGTAGGTTTTCTTATTTAATGTAAAAAAACAAAAGCTATATACACGCTAATCATATTTTATTGAACATACAAATGGTTTCAGGTAAGCAGAGGCGCAGAGGTGATAATGTTATCAAAGAAAGTTTTCTTGAAATATGCGGATCAGCGATGCAAAATTCAAGTTCGAGATCAGATAAAAGTGTACCCGTCCGAGGACGTCATGCAAAACAATATGCAACGAGAAGCCGACTGGAGTCTTTACAAGGAAACGCTACTTAACCAATACATTGAGAAGAAATTGAAACACGAGCATCCAAGGTCAAAATCAAACCTGTATTAACTGACACGTGTTTTGAGTTTGAGACATGCTGTGACATCACATTCATATTTCATTAAAATGATTCCATGACAAATAAAAAACACAGTATAATTTCATTCATAATAAATCAAGAAGGGTACTGTAAAGCTAAAAAACAACACAACAAAACAGCCTAATATATTACTATAAAAAGGTTATATTTTTAGGGTTTTTTTACATGTTGGATCGTAAGTTATAGACATATCAATTGTGTGAAAATGGTTTCATATCCGATCATATACTATTAACTTTCATGCCATAATAATATTTCGAGAGTTAAGTATACATGTACATAGTTCATTATCAGTGTGAATGTTCTCACTAGTTTTTCCTCCTTCTTTTCACGTGTATGCACATTGGAGCTTACGTGTAAACGAAATGCTCTCTTGACAATTGCTCGTTGCTGAAAGACAATTACTGGTGACGCCAGTGGGATATCATGAAATTGTAGGTTGAAAAATTATTGTTTTAATGTAACACATTTAAAATTGTTTTCCATTATTTGTTTATACATGTACAATCAGTGGTTTTAAAGACGTTTTCGGGAGTTTTTATAGAGACATTTTGGCAAAATCAAAACTGCATCATAGAATTTCTGTGTCTCTTTATTTATGTTATCATATCCTTACAACATGCCAAATTTAAAGAAATTCAATTGAACAGTTTTATTTCTGCCTATATGAATACTCCCGAAAAGGTCCTTAAGTTTTTTTTGGAGGACGTCATTCAAACTTCTTTATGATACAGGCTTTGAATGTTTAACAAAAGTTTGAGAAGTGCATTCAAACTTTTTATATACATGTATATGCATGCTGTAAGTTTCCATACGAATGACGTCATTTCAAACATTCATATTATATTAGATCTATAATTATGCTCTTGATATCCTAAGGACGTCTTTCAAACTAGATCTATAAACATATTCTGCAAGTGCAGGTTCTTATAAATGACGTCGTTCAAACATTTCTGCGATTATGGTGAAACCATACTTAAAAAAGACGTAATTCTATTGGTGTCTGTGTTTTTAAGGAATTTACAATATGGATTAGCTTATACGTTATTTATAACTAGATCTACGTATACGATTTAAAAGACGGCGACATTTCAATGTATTAAGAAAGTCTGTAATATCGGAGGGAGCTATCATTATGAAATTTCCCTGTTTTACAGGAGCTGTGGCCAATCCCCAGATTTGTCAAGAATAAATGAGTCTAAAACAAAATCAGATGCCAAAAAAATTTCGATATGTGAGCTCGAGGAAGCTGATATTATAGCTCATTTTGCGTCATTACGAGAACGGGCATCTATATCTGAAATATAAATATATACTTACAATAGGGTTGGATTGTCGTGAAGCTATATACATGTATATATCAGCAAAAACGTTGAGTGAACGGTTGATTTGACTGATTACTGCAGCTGATTCCATGATGGTTTTCTTTTATGTAAGCGTTGCGTTTATATGGAATTTATTTTAATGTCAGATCGATTTAAATGGTTCCATAATTGGGTTGGTAAAAATCAAAGGTGACAATTGTTTAAACCATCTCGTATTTTTGAATATCCAAGCCTATATACATGTGCTAAATTAGAGACTTTTTAATTGTGCTAAGTCTTTACTTACTGAAAATATGTATGGTGATTAGATGAACATTTTGTATTATCTTTTATGTTGATTTGTTTGATATAAAATAAATTGGGAAGTCCCTGTTGATTGGTGATTTGAGATGATAGGGCTATTTTGTGTGATTGAAGCTAGTAGGGTATTGACCAGACATACCTTAATAGGAAACAATATTTCTATATTGGGTATGTAAGCATTGGTGTTTGATTATATTTTTACCCGTAAATTCATTTTAAATATGTATCAAAATAAACCAGTTCCTATACAAAATTGGTATTGCAAATCATTTTACGTGAGTAACGTCTTAGGGCAAGTGTTAGGATCAATCATCACACAGTGTTTAAGTTGCCTGCAGGTTATTTATGAATATCTTATAATTATTTTATTCATGCTTCGGTTATCACATGTATATAGTGCATTTCTGAAACATTTATACATGTTTTTGTTATTTATGTGTGCACGGCATTTACGAGTATTACAGATTTTACATGTACTCTTTTAAAATATATTTTTTACGTTTTAAAGTTATGTATGTATGTTTTTATTTGTTTTGTATGACATTGAAATAAAGTATTATTTTTGTTTAAAAAGGTGATTTCTGGTTTTTGCCAATTCATATATGCGATTTTTACAATAATTAACTTTAGAATCGTTTCAACTATATAAAATGAACAACACAACACAAAACAACGCTTACAAAAACGCACAAAAAAATCTTGCCAAACCCCCACCCAATTCCCTAAAGTAAAAGCGACAAGAGCACTTCTCGGTTTTGATTTTAAATAAAGGAAACCAAAAAATTTGTCATTGCGGGTACCTATTTCCTATAAAACATAACGGTTGCGGTTAAAATATTACTCGTAGGTCGAGGTCATGTTGTTTTAAAACAGTCTATATTTAGCACTGGTTGGCATTTTGTTCAGCAGAACACCAAGAGTATTTTTGTATTTTTTTAAATGAGGAGATGTTGTTAAAAGGTTTTCTGTCGTTAGCTTTTGTGGCCATTGTGTTCAACATTTAGTAACTTTAGAGTGTTTTACCACTTTTTAGAGGAATAAACCACTCTTGACCATGCCCGGGAAAGGGTTTATTCAAAAAATTTCCAGCCCCGTATCAAAACTTGGTAACGTTCCAATAAATGAGATTTAAATGTGAGTGTACATCATAAGTTAATATAACAAACACATAAACTTATTTTTTATACCGTTTATTTAGAAAGGATAAATCATTAACAATATTACAAAAGATGTATGTTGATAGAACAGCAATATTCTCGATCAAACATCTTACAACATACAAACAAAACATGTCATGAAAATTGAGGACCAATAGATTGGCCACACTCCTATAATTAAGAAATATCTCTTTTTCAAAGTTATAAGTCTTCAAAAGCTTTGTTTATTTGTTAATTGTTTCCAGAATGATGTTACATAATTAAGAAACTCTATCTATAAACTGCTAGTAGAAATCTGATCATTTTTTGTTCTGTAGGTAAATATCGTTTCTGTCCAAATGTAACATGAGCCGCGTCATGACAAAACCAACATAATGGGTTTGCGACCAGCATGGATCCAGACCAGCCTGCGCATCCGCGCAGACTGATCAGGATCCATGCTGTTCGCTATCAGTTTCTCTACTTGTAATAGAGTTGGTAAGCGAACAGCATGGATCCTGATCAGACTGCGCGGATGCGCAGGCTGGTCTGGATCCATGCTGGTCGCAAACCCATTATGTTGGTTTTGTCATGACACGGCTCATATTATTTAACAAGAGAACCACAATGGTCCTTAACCACTCACCCGAGGTTACCTGACTTTTGCTAAATCTTTAAAAAAAAAAATTCTCCTTTTTTGGTTATTCATAGCCTTGTTGGGATGTAAACACGTAAATATAATCACATACAATTAGGAGATTTACTTTTTAAAGTAAAGAAACTATACTGATAGCAATCAGTATATTAATACAAACAACAAACAAACAAGACGTATGGACAAGGGTTTGCAAAACAAAAGTAACAAAGTCATAAATGGAAGGCAACAAAACTTCATGCCTCTCAATAGAATAACAAAAAAAAAATTATTCATTCTTTCCAAACAAATAAATTATTAATTTTTAAAATAAAATCATATTTAAAACCTTTTTAAACTAGAGGATGCTTTTGTAAAAAAGCGCATGTCTCCCCCACTGCTGAGAATAACTGTGAATGGAAACAGGAATGGAAATGGAGATAAAAGAACAGAGTATATAAAACCAGACAACTGATATATCACTGATATATATCAATAATAGTTAAATGTCCTCACTGATAAGAACTCTAGTTATCATCCGGAAAATGAGAAAATGACCAATGGTCACTGTGACCTTAACCTTTGACCTACTGACCCCATAAACAAGAGGGATCATCTGCTCAATAAGACCCAATCATCCTATGAAGTTTGAGGGGTTGTAGGTCTAAAAGGAACTCTAGTTATCATCCGGAAAGGAGAAATTAACCAACGGTCGCTGTGACCTTGACCTTTGACCTACTGACCATTAAAACAATAGGATCATTTGATTAATAAGACCAATCATCCTATGAAGTTTGAGGGTTGTAGGTCAAAAGGAACTCTAGTTATCATCCGGAAATGAGAAATTGACCAACGGTCACTGTGACCTTTGACCTTTGACCTACTCTGACCCCAAAAACAATAGGGATCATCTGCTCTATAAAGACCAATCATCCTATGAAGTTTGAGGGCTGTAGGTCAAAAGGAACTCTAGTTATCATCCGGAAACGAGAAATTGACCAACGGTCACTGTGACCTTGACCTTTGAACTACTGACCCCAAAAAAACAATAGGGATCATCTGCTCAATAAGACCAATCAACCTATGAAGTTTGAGGTCTGTAGGTCTAAAGGAACTCTAGTTATCATCCGGAAACGAAGAAATTGACCAACGGTCAGTGTGACCTGACTTTGACCTACTGACCCAAAAACAATAGGGATCATCAGCTCTATAAGACCAATCATCCTATGAAGTTTGAGGGCTGTAGGTCAAAAGGAACTCAAGTTATTCATCCGGAAAACGAGAAATTGACCAAACAACGTCACTGTGACCTTGACCTTGACCTACTGACCCCCCAAAAACAATAGGATCATCTGCTCAATAAGACCAATTCATCCTATGAAGTTTGAGAGCTGTAAGTCAAAAGGAACTCTAGTTATCGTCCGGAAACGAGAAATTGACCAACGGTCACTGTGACCTTGACCTTTGACCTACTGACCCCAAAAACAATAGGGATCATCTGCTCAATAAGACCATTCATCCTATGAAGTTTGAGAGCTGTAGGTCAAAAGGAACTCTAGTTATCGTCCGGAAACGAAGAATGGACGGACGGACTGACGGACGGACGGACTGACGGACGGACGGACTGACGGACGGACAGGGCAAAAACAATATGTCTCCCCCCGAGGTGGGGGAGACATAATTATATTCCTTTATAGCTTAATCTTATAACTATTTTAGCACCTCTTT